AATAAATTTAGAAAATATTAGAGAAAGATTTATGAGAAATTTATTATGTTGTTACTAATTCGATGTGGGCGGCTCTATTATTATCATTAATTCTAATTTTTCTTTTTCATCGTCATATTTTATATACAGAGCGACCATCGGGAACTTGCTGAAATTAAATAGTTAAATAGTTATTATTTTTATGATGACGTGAAATACAATATCTCGATTTTATAATCAGATTTTTTCATGAGACAATTTGATATACGTGTAACGAGTGCCATCATCTTCTAGCCGTTTATTGTAGCACATGAGAGAAGACCTGCCTAATAAGAATATATTGTTACAAATTTAAAGAATATAACTTCAGAATTTCGATTGGTCAATTGTGGCGATATTCTTTGCCCTTTCGCGTTTGTTGCAAGACGGTTGTTTCCATGTATCGCATACAGAAGCTGATATAATCGTCTTAATATACTAATGTGATCAAAAAATAAGGTGAATTTTTCATTTAAACTTCGCGGGTACTTTAAAATCATGAAATTATTTTTTTGTGGGTTGGTAGCACTGTCTTTGACATCTATGCAGAGTTTCATGTCAATATATTCAATTGCTGCAGAGCTATACGTGTTTTTGTAAACATACAAAACTGAGTTTTTCGATTTTTACTATGTCTGATTTTGTTGAGCAAAGAATTTGCATTAAATTTTGTTTGCTAAATGAATATTCTGCCGCGGAAACGTTGAGGATGTTGCAGAAGGCCTTTGGTGATAAAGCTATGTCGCAAAAAAATGTTTACAAGTGGTACAAAGACTTCAAAGAAGGTCGAGAACGAATTCAAGACGAACAGCGCTCCGGATGACCATCAACATCTACCGATGAAAGCCACGTCAAGGAAATCAAACTGTTAACAAGGAATATTATTTGAGTGTTATGCGTCGTTTGCGTGAAGCTATTCGCCTCAAAAGGCCAGAATTATGGGCAGACAATTCTTGGTTTTTGCACCACGATAATGCACCATCCCACACTGCATTGGTTCTTCGAGAACATTTCGCCAAAAATTTGACCCATATCGTTCCACCGTATTCGCCTGATTTAGCACCGTGCGACTTCTGGCTGTTCAACAAACTCAAAAGACCGCTCCGGGGACACCGTTTCGACTTGACTGAGGAGATAAAAGCCGAATCGAAGAAATTATTGAAGGCCATTCCGGAAAAAGACTTCTCTGACTGTTTCGAGGATTGGAAAAACCTTGGCATAAGTGCATTGTATCGGACGGGGGGTACTTTGAAGGCGATGAAATTGATTTGGAAGAATAAATAAAGATTTTTCACTTTATAAACAAATTCACCTTGTTTTTTGATCACAGTAGTATATTCTGTAAAGTGCAATCAATATATTCTTCATTGAAGCGCTGTATTTATTAACCGGTTCACTTACAAGTATAGCAATGCAATCAGTAAAAATTTCACTGGAAAGTTTGATTAATAGGAACTATTCCCATTATTGAAGCAGTTTGTGAACACAAATAGTCGCAAAGCGCATGGAAATCATTAATTCCATTGTCTCATGTTTAGAAAATCGGTTTTAATATAATAAACTTATGCATTATAGATTTTGCAATGAAATTTTATTTCTACTAGTCAAAATCAATGAGATGTAAGAGTAATATATAAGGAGTAAAGAGGCAATGTTTCTATCGAAAGTTATAATGCTCACTAATTATTGGTGAAATATTCATTTCGCTGATTAAAATAGCAACATTGTTATCGATTCATTTTGAAAAAGTAGCGATCACGATTCTCAGCCATACGTACAAGATGTATAATACGACTGAAAACTATAGTGGCGCTAATAATACAAATGTTAAAGTTATTATGCCGGATGTACTGGAAACGCTTCGTTTCCCAACAGTCTACGAATTGCTGTGTGCCGATGGTGCCTCATAGATACGTGAATGGCCTCGTCACTGATCCAGTGAAATACGAATAAATAGTTTCGTGATCTCATCCAGTTATTCTCTTTTTCTTCTTGAATCGATGTGAAGACAAGGCTGTTTTTTCTTCTTTCTTTTCTTTCGCCGGAAAATCCATGCGAATGAACATATTTCTTACGTACATCGGAAGATGATGAGGGCAACAGTTGAAGATGCGATTGCTCATGTAAAGTTTTGCCATTTATTGCTATCATTATTATATTTAATTATGAGCAATTATTAATTATAACTGCTAGTATTAATTATTATAATTGATCACGATTATTACGAGTACGATTATTAGTTGCTACCGTTGCAGGTATATAATGTCTTTATAAATGAGAATCGAGACACCGACGGCAATAGGGAAAACAAACTGAATAAATTGAAATTATATTAACTTAAAGGTGTTCCATCATCATTTGTATTGACTCACTTTATCCTTGAACGATAATCGAAACAACAAGGAATAGAAGAATGGGGAAAGTAAGTTGAATCCTAGTGTTTTTTTTCTTTTGTATATCTGTGCATGAATTTTATTTATTATTTTGTTGTTATTTAACTTCCATTGTGATCATCAATAATTAGTGCTATAATATTTCGGTGTTATACTAATTTACGTGTAAAACGTAATCAATCGGGTCCTTCGAAATGACAAATTGTATTATCTTTCATTACTACATTCAATACTGTTTATTATTTGTAAATTTGTAATCTGTTCTTAATATTCTTTAATATTCTTAATTGCATAAAAATTTCACAATTAGACAAGTCAACGGTTATGTTAAAATTTATATAACACATTGCAAATGTCTTTTTTAATGGCTGAGCAATGCGCCTTCTATTCCGGTTTAGCTTAGCTAATACAAACTTAAATTAACAGAATTTATTAAGTGACAGTGTAAATATTAATTTAAAAATGGCAAATATGAAATATTTCCGTTATTTTAGATTGATGATTTTATTATTACAGATTTATAAAAAAGAAGAAAAAATTAAAGAATTTTGTAAGAAACTTGATATCGTTTACTGTTAATTCATGCAAAATATTAAAGTTCAGATATAAAATAATAAATAATAATTTTTACAATATATTTTTATTGAATTTCTGCGAGTTGCACTGAATTATATTATTCAAATGCAACATAACTAAAAAATTTTTACACTTTTTATAAAATAATTAGTGTCGGAAGTGTATGTGATGGGTAAGATTTTTGAATTTTTCAAAATTATGCCAGATTGTGCTAGCGAAGTACAATAATTTTTGTTTGGAATAATTGCGAAAAAGAGCAATTTTCTGGTAAAACTTTTTGTTAGATAAATAGATTACAGACTACAACCAACTTAAGGAAACATTTTTTAGAAATTATAAACTTTAGACTCCTGTAACTTTTGAACTATTATTCTGCGAGTGTTGATTTATATGCTGCGTAACATAATACAATAAATAAATAATCAAAGATGTTCCGAAAATCGCAGAGACTGAAAAACAATTGATCGAAACGAATAGGGTTGAATAAATCAAATTCTTTCGAATTTTGTATAGACTTGTGCAAAATAACTTGTACAGAATTGTGCTACATGAGCGCATAATACTTTCTAATAACAAAATTTATCAAATTGTTAAATTTCGTAACACAACAATTTAAAGAAATTTTTTAGAAATTACAAACTTCACATTCCTGTGACTTTTGAATCATGGTAATCATGGGAATCGGAATTTGAGAGTTATGCAAAAATTAAAATAAAATAATACAAAAATGCATAGACATAAGGCAATTTTAAAGTAGGCAGGAATTATTAAATATAAATAAAAATAAATTTCTTCTCATCAATTTTTTTTACATTGGTACATTGTTTTTGAAAAATTCTTGATCACATTTTTGCATTTCATCAAAGCAACTCAACACAACTTACATCATATCATATGTATATTTTTACCAAATTTTTATTTAATATCTTAATAATTATCATTGTTGTTTGTGACATGTTAAAAGATATTTTTATTTCATAATTTCTATATATAAGTAGATGTACATGTTGTGTCAGACATTCTATATAACTGAGATTAAAATAAGAGGAGAATACGATTAAGATTATAAAGAGAAAAATAATTTTCTTAAAGATAAAAATATTATGAATTATATATAAAAATTAAATATACTCATCCGCAAAAGAAACGAGCCACTAAATTTTAGCACAGTTTTTTGCATATCTTTCAATAGTGATAACTCAGCCAAAAATCATCGTATTGATACGAAACAAGACTCAAATTAAAGCTTGGACATTTCTTGTCAACAACCAAAAACCTAAAGGTGGATTATAATAAACGTTTTACAAAATAGCGGATGTTAAATATAGATAGACTTCAATTAATGGGAGAAACATTTGTATTTTAACTGTTACACTGCTCAGGGGAATCGGTTCTCTGGTACAAAAATGTATGATGTTTAAAGCTCATTTATTTCCTAACAAATTCATATTTTAATCATTTTTCTACAACTTCTTTTGATAAAGTTATGTTTTGAAGAAAATGTTATGAGTCCGGATGTGAATCCTATCAAGCATTTATAGGCAGCATGCTGAAATGAATAAGAAAACATAACACTCAAATGTTAACAGCACTTCGCAATGCTTTGTAAGAAGAATGGAACAATGTAAAACAAAAAGAAATTAGAAATTTCTTTTCTTCGTTGGGGCATACTGTATATAAAATTTCTATTTTCTTCTTGTTTTATATTGTTTCATTCTTCTTACAAAGCATTGTGAAGTGCTGCTACGTTTGAGTGTTATGTTTTCTTATTCTCCGTTTCAGTAGCTGCCTATAAATACTTGATAGAATTCACATCCGGACTAACATTTTCTTCAAAACAGTATAACTTCATCAAAAAAGTTGTCGAAAAATGATTAAAATATGGATTTGTTAAGAAATAAATAAGCTTCAAACATTATACATTTTTGTACCAAAGAACCGATTCCCCTGAGCAGTGTAACAGTTAAAATACGAATGTTTTTCCCATTAATTGAAGTTTATCTATATTTAACATCCGCTATTTTGTAAAACGTTTATTATAATCCACTTTTAGGTTTTTGGTTGTTGACAAGAAATGTCCAAGCTTTAATTTGAGTCTTATTTCATATCAATACGATGATTTTTGGCTGATTTATCGCTATTGAAAGATATGCAGAAAACTGTGCTAAAATTTATTGGTCCGTTTCTTGTCTGTATATTTAAAGGTTAATTCTTAATTTTACTGATTACTGATTTTTGAAATATTCCGGCCATGCTACTCTTTCTATCCAGGGGATGTAGTGATAGACTCGAGTGTACACAGCAGGTACGATGCTTCCGCATACTCGTCCCACACTCGTAATACCAATTATGTTATGTGTATTGTTATGAACGGGGTTAAAAACAGTCAGAGGCCCTCCGCTGTCACCCTAACAAACATGTAAAATATTACACAAAATATATTGGTTTCGAATGGAATATGAAATTGAAATTTTTTATTTTTGCACAGATAATAAAAATTTATTTATTTAAATAATTTTTCGGATTTTCTGATTATTTGATGTTTTTCCGTTCCAATGTCATCTGATATTGTATAAACTGATATTGTTATAACTGATTATTTTATTTAGATTTAGATTTAGATTCAGAAATTACAATAAAATATTGTTGAAATTAACCATCAAGAATATGGAGAAACAATTTCAAAAAAGGAAAATAATTTACATATTATTAAATGAATATCACCAATTCAAAATAGGAATTAATATATTACCTGACAAGTATCTTTTCCTTCATCTCCTGCACATATTTGCCATTCATCAACAATGCCTCGTGCGAAGCTAATAGTACTATCTGCATCGAAAAAACTTTCATTGCAAGACTGCTGCGGAACCAAACTGAGTATCACTTTCTGCAAATGGTCGGAGCCCTGTTCGTCGGCTGTAGCATAAAACAATACAAAATTATAAAGCTATTCAAAGATTTACAACAAAGATTCCCGATATAATATTTCGTAATCCAATTGTTTTCTTAATGTTATACAGCGTGTCCCATTTTAAAGGACCCACTCAAATATCTCAGAAACACTGTGTTAAATCGAAAAATGCTTAAGACAAAAGTTGTTTGGCATGAAGGGGGACATAAGACAGAGATAGCATTTTGCTTATAAATGGCTCCACTTTCGAGATATTCACTGATTATCAATTTTCTTAAATGGAAATCCCAATTTTTTATTATATCATCATTTTCTACCAATTAATTTGAATAACTTTTGTCTGAAACATTTTTTTATCTGCTTAATATATTTTGAGATATTTAAGGAAAACTTGGTAACTTTTCCAACATTTACCTTACGATATCTCACTAACTATTCGTCGAAAGAAAAAATAGTTTTAAACTTTTTTACTTTATTTACTATCAAGAATATATCACTATAATAGTGCCTTAACTTTTATTAACTTATTGATCTTTGGAAATTTCAAAATTATTAAATTAACAATGTTTCTGTCATTAATAACTCGATAATCATTGCGATTCTTGCAAAATTGTACTTTACTTTTCTTTTCTTCTTAACCTAATCTACTTTCACACTTCGGGTTGGCAGCTAATTACCGGACACCCTGTATGTCGATACATTCAAGTCAAGAAGTTACATCTAGTCAATGGGATCAAAACGTCGATTTTTGGAAATTTTCATTTCCTTTTGGTATAATATCTGAGAAATATTTATACATTACATATTACATATTTATACAGGATGATCCATTTTAATCGACAATCAGAAATATTTCGTTAGGTAAGCCAGATCGCGAAAAATGTTTCAAACGAGTTATAAGGTTCAGAGGGGAATATCTGACGATGACCTTGGCTTGACCTTGGATTATCGTTTAAAAGTCATGTAAAGGTCAACTTTAAAATCCTAAATGGAACCCCCGACTTTTTATTGCATATTCTTATAGTCCTTAATGAGGCGTTTTCAAAACACTACCTACTTTTATCTTTTGTGTAAGCCATTCCCAAATATGAAGCTTCAAAGTTGACATACCGCCGGCATTCGCATTACCCGATGTACCCGATGTATCCGATTACGCGGGAGGATTACGTGTACATCGGGTAATGCGAATGCCGGCGGTATGTCAAATTCAAAGTTTCTTATTTTGGGAATGACTTAAGTAAAAGACAAAAGTAGATAGTATTTTGAAAACGACTCTACAAGGGCTAGAATAAGAATATGCAAGAAAAAATACGTTGTTGAAGTTTGGAGCGTTCTTGGAGCGAAAATTAAAAATAGACTTTATTTAAAAAAAACCACTTAATATAAATATAAATGCATATAAAAGATAAATTTGTGTTAAATATGACATGACATTATAAGAAAGTTGTTCTTCCCGAAAATTACGTACATATAATCATTCATACAGATTATAATTATTACCGGTACTCACATCGCTCGATGCCAAAACCTCATAATGCGTTTTCACTCTCTGGCATGTGGAAAAATAGAAAAAAATTAGTTTAACATCAATATCACCCCGGAACACTATCGCTCTTCCCGAAAATGGCGTGCATACCACCAAACTCAGACAGATTATAATTATTTCCGGCTCTCACAGCGCTCTGTGCCAAAGCTGAAAATGCATTTTCACTCTCTAGCATGTGGGAAAATAGAAAAAAATTTGTTTAACATAAAAATCGTCCCGGAATACTATCGCCCTCCTCGAAAATGGTGTGCATACCACCAAACTCAGACAGATTATATATACATCCGGCTCTCACAGCGCTCTGTGCCAAAAACTGACAATGCATTCTCACTCTCTGGCATGTGGGAAAATAGAAAAAAATTAGTTTAATAGCAATATCGTCCCGGAACACTTTCGCTCTCCCCGAAAATGGTGTGCGTACCACCAAACTCAGACAGATTATAATTACTTTCAGCAGTCATAACGCTCTGTGCCAAAAACTAATAATGCATTTTCACTCTCTGGCATGTGGGAAAATAGAAAAAAATTAGTTTAACAGCAATATCGTCCCGGAACACTTTCGTTCTCTCCGAAAATGGTGTGGGTACCACCAAACACAGACAGATTATAAATACATCCGGCTCTCACAGCGCTCTGTGCCAAAAACTGACAATGCATTTTCACTCTCTGGCATGTGGGAAAATAGAAAAAAATTTGTTTAACATCAATATCGTCCCGGAACATTATCGCTCTTCCCGAAAATGGTGTGCATACCACCAAACTCAGACAGATTATAATTATTTCCGGCTCTCACAGCGCTCTGTGCCAAAAACTGATAATGCATTCTCACTTTCTGGCATGTGGGAAAATAGAAAAAAATTAGTTTAACAGCAATATTGTCCAGGAATACTATCGCTCTCCCCGAAAATGGTATGCATACCACCAAACTCAGACAGATTATACAGGGTGCACGATTTATCTGAAGACATTGAAATATTTCGAGAGCTATGCATTGGATAAAAAAAGTGGTTAATGAAAGTTGTTAGTCTCGAAGGGGGACATCCAATGATACCAAACTCGACCTCCCACCCCACCCCCTGGGGGTGGGGGTTGGGGGCAACTTTTAAATCTTAAATGGAAACCCCCATTTTTTATTGCAGATACGGAGTCTACGCCACAAAATACGTAAATTTTGTCCGAAACTTTTTTTTTTATTCGTGATAGATGGCGCTGTAATCGCAAAAAATTATTTTCCGCAATTCTCCAGAAATGATCATTGGATTGAGAAATAAAAAATACCTGTTCAATATTTTTAAAGAACATAATAAAAGTTATTCCCCCCCCCATCCTCTCGGGGTAGGGTGGGTGATAACGTTCAAATCTCAAATGGGGACCCACATTTTTCATTGCAGAATTAGATTGTACGTGAAATTTTTATTGAAACAATTTTTTTCATTCGTGATAGATAGCATTGCACTGCCTTTTATAATAAGCCGTAGTTCGCCATACACCTACAGTGGCACGTCGAGCAGTTCTCTCTTCGATTCGGATTCCCATTTGAGATTTGAACGTTACCACCCACCCTACCCCGAGAGGATGGGGGGGGGAATAACTTTTATTATGTTCTTTAAAAATATTGAACAGGTATTTTTTATTTCTCAATCCAATGATCATTTCTGGGGAATAGCGGAAAATATAATTTTTTGCGATTACAGTGCCATCTATCACGAATCAAAAAAAAGTTTCGGACAAAATTTACGTATTTTGTGGCGTAGAATCCGTATCTGCAATAAAAAATGGGGGTTTCCATTTAAGATTTCAAAGTTGCCCCCAATCCCCACCCCCAGGGGGTGGGGTAGGAGGTCGAGTTTGGTATAATTGAAGGGGGATGTCCCCCTTCGAGACTAACAACTTTCATTAACCACTTTTTTTATCCAATGCATAGTTCTCGAGATATTTCAATGTCTTCAGATAAATTGTGCACCCTGTATATACATCCGGCTCTCACAGCGCTCTGCGCCAAAAACTGACAATACATTCTCACTCTCTGGCATGTGGGAAAATAGAAAAAAATTAGTTTAACAGCAATATCGTCCCGGAACACTTTCGTTCTCCCCGAATATTGTGTGTATACCACCACACTCAGACAGATTGTCATTATTTCCGGCAGTCACAGTGTTCTGTGCCAAAAACTGACAATGCATTTTCCTTCTCTGGCATGTGGGAAAATAGAAAAAAATTAGTTTAATAGCAATTTCGTCCCGGAACATTTTCGTTCTCGTCGTATTCCGGAACAAAAGAGTTCCGGGACGCGATTGCTGTTAAACCATTTTTGTTCTCTTTTCCCACATGCCAGAGAATGAAAATGCATTATTAGTTTTTGGCACAGAGCGCTATGACTGCTGAAAGTAATTATAATCTGTCTGAGTTTGGTGGTACGCACACCATTTTCGGGGAGAGCGAAAGTGTTCCGGGACGATATTGCTATTAAACTAATTTTTTTCTATTTTCCCACATGCCAGAGAGTGAGAATGCATTGTCAGTTTTTGGCACAGAGCGCTGTGAGAGCCGGATGTATATATAATCTGTCTGAGTTTGGTGGTATGCACACCATTTTCGAGGAGGGCGATAGTATTCCGGGACGATTTTTATGTTAAACAAATTTTTTTCTATTTTCCCACATGCCAGAGAGTGAAAATGCATTTTCAGCTTTGGCACAGAGCGCTGTGAGAGCCGGAAATAATTATAATCTGTCTGAGTTTGGTGGTATGCACACCATTTTCGGGAAGAGCGATAGTGTTCCGGGATGATATTGATGTTAAACTAATTTTTTTCTATTTTTCCACATGCCAGAGAGTGAAAACGCATTGTGAGGTTTTGGCATCGAGCGATGTGAGTACCGGTAATAATTATAATCTGTATGAATGATTATATGTACGTAATTTTCGGGAAGAACAACTTTCTTATAATGTCATGTCATATTTAACACAAATTTATCTTTTATATGCATTTACATTTATATTAAGTGGTTTTTTTTTAAATAAAGTCTATTTTCAATTTTCGCTCCAAGAACGCTCCAAACTTCAACGACGTTAAAAGATAGGGAATTCTACGTAAGATTTTAAAGTTGACCTTTACGTGATCTTCAAACGACAATCCAAGGTCAAGCCAAGGTCACCATAATGTCCCCCTCTGAACCTTACAACTTTTGTTTGAAACATTTTTCGCGATCTGGCTTACGTAACGAAATATTTCCGATTGTCGATTAAAATGGACCATCCTGTATATTACATATTATATGAAGAATATTTATACACTACATATTATTACATATTTCCTGAAAGTTTCATTTAAATCAGCTCAAAATTGAAGGAGGTACGCTGTTTTGAAAAAGTAGGGTATATTTAGCACAAGTAGCGCATAGCTGCTTTCGGGCAGCTACTCCCCGTTTTCGGAAATTAGGTCAGATCAGGCATTGAATATAATGATGAAAGATGCTTATATTATTGCATGCTTAAGGTCCTAAACAGTTACCGCTAGCAAGCTGAAAGATTTTTAGGGCAACACGTCAATATAACAGGTAGCGTCGAGCAGTGAAGTTCGTTTATTTATGTCTTAATATTTGTCAATTTTCGATATCATAGATTCACGTTCAAGAGTTATGCGAGATTCGAGGAGTTCTAAACAGTACCAGAAATCCAGTAAAAAAAAACAATATTTTAACCCTAAAACCTTAAAACATCGGAGAGCGACGAGAGCAGTTTTAATATAACTATTAGGTGCTTGAATTAATTTTCGCTGTTGACTAATAGAAGTCAATCGTTATGTCATTTCAACATGGCCGAAAGTGACTGTTGGTGTATATGAAAATTCTGTCAATAGGTTTTAATAATCAGTGTGTGACATTAGATCAGAATGCAAAGAACACAATTTTTTATTGCATTGAACATGTCCGGTTTCGTACCAAAAGAATAACATTTGCAAGAAGTATTATTTTTCTGTTTTTGTCTCAAAAAATCGGCTACTGAAAATCATCATTTGCTAATGAAGATTTATGGGGAGTATGCTCTATCTGAAACAACTTGCAAAGATTAGTTTCGACGATTCAAAGACAACGATTTTGATGTGAATGACAAAGAGTACTTTGAAAAAATTAAAAAATGGAAAATTGGAGGCATTACTGGAAGAAGATTCATGTCAGACGCTCAAAGAGTTGTCGGAAGCACTAATGTTGATGTTAACCATAAGCAAACGTTGAAACAACTTTGTAGAGATTGGTCTAATACTGAGCAGCATCGGAGCCCTTAACCCTGATGATACAAGCTGCAATGTTTGCGAAATGTTGGTACGAAAGTAACTTACGACGCGGTATCTATCCGAAAGAAACACACCCTGATTGTATCAAAGGCCACGAAAGTCTAAAAACTAGTATTCTCACCTTATTTACCTTTAGGAATTTTCTTTCACGTCTTCACTCCATCTCTTTCCGTCTCTATCATCTCTCCTCTCTCTCCCTACTCACTCTCTCTCTCTCTCTCTCTCTCTCTCTCCCCCTCTCTCCCTCTCCTACCATCACGCCACTCTCCCCTTCTCCCCTCTCCCTCTCTCTACATATCCCCACTTACCTCTTCCTCTTTCCCTCCCTCCTCCTCCCTCCTTCCCTCCCTTTCTCTTCCTCCTTCCCTTCCTCCCTCTCCTTCCCTCTCTCTTTCCCTCCCTCCCTCCCCATCCCCCTCCATCCCCCCCTCTCTCTCTCTCTATCGCACATTTTCACCTCCTGTACTCTAGCATATTCTCTCTCTTACTCTCTACGTTTGCTCACTTGCATTCGCTGCTGTCTGCTTCTTCAGCGCGTTCGTAACGCCTCTGGTTTCGGAAAAGCGAGATTCATAAATCCCTTTTCCTGTACGGCCATAGAGATAAAGGTTGTCACTCTTTTTTAATAACTTTCGGAACGCATCCCGATTCGAGAAGGATGAGAGCTGCTGCTCCGCCTGTGGAGCACGCCTATACAGTGACTCACAACGAAAGGCGAAAAATGAAATATACGTGGTATGACATAAGTATGTAAACAATTCTTACATTTTGCTTGTAATATGTATCCTTAATTCTTAGTATTTTAATACTTAGTAGTTTCAAGTATTTTGATATCGTTATCAGCAGTATGTATAAACTTGTGTATATTACAGGAGGAAAAAGCAGCCCAAGGTTGGAAATTGTTTTCATATTTGTCTATAGCAGAAAAGAATTAAGGATATATATTACAAGCAAAATGTAAAAATTGTTTACATATTTATGTCATACCACGTATATTTCATTTCTCGCCTTCCGTTGTGAGTCACTGCGCAGGCGTGCTCGTAGGCGGAGCAGCAGCTCTCATCCTTCTCGAGTCGGGATGCGTCCCGAAAGTTATTAAAAAAAAAGTGACAACCTTTATGTCTATGACGTAAATCTAGCGTTTCTTACTTTCTTACTGAATCGAAATTTCCTGTGATTTGGATTTTATCTTAAAATATTTTTATTTAGAAACAACATCCACAAAAAACACAACAACACTTTTCTTCCTATTTTCTAAGACTGAATCGATTGGGATTAGAAAAATCTCGATTGGTTCAGCTATTGCTGAGTGAATATCGCACATCGTTTTAACTCGCAGTTTCGCTTAAATATAGACTCGGTCTGCCTCGCGCCGTTCGGGCACACTTCGTTGCGCTGAACTTGGCGCGAGGCACTACCGTGCCTCTTGATAATATTTTCTTTTTTCAAAATCATGTAATTATAATAAAGTGCGTTCTTTATAAACACAGTTAAATTAACTTGATGCTATTTCAATGATAATTGACAAAGTCATATGCATTTAATTGTTGATTAAGCAGAGTATAAATTTTGTATGTATGTCATGATCATATAAAAAATTTACATAATTCCTGTTTTTTCAATCACATAGATCACATAAGAAACCTTTTTTGTTATCTCTTACCCCAATCAAGACGTCCCCATCCAGTAGCAACTGCTGCACCACCATAACCAATATCAGGTAAGTCAACCGGAAGACATGCTGGCCTGGCCCATACAGTATAAGTAATCGGGGTTTCTAACTTTACTATGGCTATATCGTGGTACTGCGACGGTTTTTTATAATCAGGATGCAGTATTCTTTCGACGATTCTGATAGTCTGCGGCATTGCATCGTCATTTGTCTCCGCTAGATTCAGGTCACCGACTCGTGCCCACTTCGCGACTCCCCTTTAAAACGGATGAAATATATCAAGGTAGATACATTGAAGTTTATAAAAAGGAAAGGGTGACAAACGAGATATACAGGGTGTCTAAAAATAAAAAAAGAAACAAAATTATAATAAAATACAAAAAAATAAACATGAGGCAGGACGAACATAAATAAACATTACACTCCTTACACATTTTTGTGTTTTCGTCGCACATCTGTGGTTTTTACAATTTTTTTTATTTCACAATTGCACTTTCATGTGATTTTGTATTGTCTATATTAGTCTTTACAAGATAAAATACAATAATTTCTAATCCAATTTCTTTAGTTCTTTTTATCGCTATGAACCAAGTTTTGGAGAACGGTTGTACTGGACATTAATGCTTGAATGAGTCTCAAGAGGGTTACCCGAGTCCATTCTTTTGCTCTTATACATGGCAGCAAATTGCTACGATGTGCATTATAGAGATCGACTCCACCCATGTATTGTAAAACATAAATACTTCAGGGAATGGAAAAATTGCAAAAACTTCCATACATGTGCGATAAGAATACAAAAAAAATATGTAAGAACTATAATGTTTATTCATGTTCGTCCTGTTTCATGTCTTTTCATGATAAAAAGTAAAGCTTCAAGTTCTATGATTCGAATTCTTTGTCGATTTCTCATTTTTCCTTATTATTTCTATGTTCATAATACCAGGTCTGTAAATATGAAACCGGAATTTGCCTATAGATGGCCCTAGCTGTCAATGTAGTTACCGTCAAACCGCGTCATTGGCGCCATTTCCATTTGTTGACATCTGACAAAAATTTTCAACTCACAACAATACAAGTTTCATACAACAGCATAGTTTGTAATAGCGTTCATCATGTCGAATTTTGTACCTGGAAGCTACGATTTGCGGACAGCATTGATTTTCTGTTACCATTTGAAGAAAACTGCTGCAGAATCGCAACGAATGCTTGTCGAAGCTTACGGTGAGCATGCTCTTGGTAAATCACAGTGCTTTGAGTGGTTTAAAACATTCAAACGTGGTGATTTTTACGTGAAAAACGAAGAATGTGGAAGACCACCGAAAAAGTTTGAAGACAGCGAATTGCAAGCATTGTTGGATGAGGATGACGCTCAACCGCAACAACAACTCGCGGATCAATTAAATGTGACACGAGAAGTCGTCTCCATACGTTTGAAAGCCATGGGAAAGATCCAGAAGATGGGAAAATGGATTCCACATGAACTGAATGAAAGACAGTAGGAAAACCGAAAAACCACTTGCGAAATGCTGCTCGCCAGGTACAATAGAAAGTCATCGAACTCCATCGAATTGTGACTGGCGATGAAAAGTGGATATATTTTGAGAATTCTAAGCGTAAAAGATCATGGGTAACTTCAGGCGAACCATCGACATCGACTGCAAGGCCAAATCGCTATGGACAGAAGACAATGCTCTGTGTTTGGTGGGATTAGAAGGGTGTGATCTATTATGAGCTGCTAAAACCTGGCGAAACCGTTAATACTGAACGCTACCGACAACAAATGATCGATTTGAATCAAGCTTTGCGTGAAAAACGACCAGAATATCAGAAAAGGCAACAGAAAGTGATTTTGCTTCATGATAATGCACTATCACACACAGCAAAACTGGTCAAGGAAACGATTGAGGCGTTTAGTTGGGAAATATTTTCGCATGCGTCTTACTCACCAGATTTGGCTCCGTCCGATTACTACTTATTTGCATCGATGGGACACGCACTTGCTGAGCAGCGCTTCACTTCTTACGAAAATGTACGGAAATGGCTCGATGACTGGTTTACCTCAAAAGAGCAACAGTTTCTTTGCCGTGGCATCCACAAATTGTCAGACAGGTGGGGAAAATGTATAGCTAGCGATGGGCAATACTTCGAATAAAACATTTTTTATCATTTTCATATAATAAACGTGTATTTTCTATACAAAAATTCCGGTTTCATATTTACATATCTGGTACACATATACGAAGTGTCCAGAATGTGATCATTAATATTTTGTGTACTGGTAGATTGGATGTAGCCAAAAAGAAAAGTCATGTACCATAATGTTAAATTGGCAATAGTTATCGAGTTATTAATTGAAACATGTGAGCCAATGAGCGCGTAAAGAGCGCTGGGCAGCTGCCTCTTCCTCTTGTCGCTTGCGCTCGCTCGCTCATCGTTCGCGCTCGCTCGCTTCTCGTCGCGCGCATGCCTCTTGTCGCTTACGGTTGCCTCTCGCCGCGCGAGGTAAGCCATCTTCTTATACACAGAGCCCGTCCTGTCGTTTTCTCGTGCGCTCATTCGTTTACACATACTCGACACATACTTTTAATTACATACACATACTTTTAATTAATTACGGAATAATTACGGAATAAATATTGAAAAAATTGTAAAATGGCACTTTTTTAATTGTTTTAACGAGTTCTACCAGTACACAAAATATTAATGATCACATTCCGGACACCCTGTATACAGGGTGTCTCAGAACTTTGGGACACGGGCTCCGTAGTGTAGAGTTAATCACCTCTAACTATTATACCAGTCTTAACCTTTGTACTGAGCGATTAATTAGATATTTAGAATAGGAAGATTGTCAGTGTAGATGAGGAGTTTTATGCGCGTATTAACAAGAGACGATTCTTCACAAGCACACACATCCTTTAATACTCGCACATAACAAATGTAACTGAAAATTTATGCTAGAGTCACCACTTGCCTTAATCTCCGTAATTCGTGAGAGTTGCAGTGGTACGATATCGATCTAATGAGGAGGAGCGACGGTACTGATTGCATAGATCAGTTGCTGCGATTAGTAATAGCTTGAACGGAAATAGTATAAACCACAATGCGTCAAAAGATGACGCTGAATATGATTGCGATAATCCAAAATCATGCCCGTAGTGCATTTGTGGATTGCTTCGAATCTCGCTTCCTGAGTTTCGCATAATATGAAACCTTGGCCTTCAAGAGGAGAACCTTAAAGGCTCCACACATGGAATGACATAGACGCATATGCATAATATAAGAGCTTATGAACCAATAAGCATCGAGCATTTAGTCGCCATATTGATTTACACAATAGCATTTAGATGCTATCTAGATGCTCATTACTCCATAAGCTTTTGTGTTATGCATATGCATCTATGTCATTCTATGGGCAAGAGCACAGGCTTTTGCATAACACATAATACATAACACATAAGAGAATAAACCAATTAGTTTTCTTCATTTCCCTCCTCAGGGCAGAAATGAAGAACTCTGATTGGTTGATTCTCTTATGCGTTGTGTATTATGCGATATGCAGAAGTCTGTGCTCTGGCCCTTAGTGTGAGGGCCCTTATCTCTGAAATGGACTTCGACTATAGCACTGAGGACAAACCAGGAGCCAAGGACAACGCCGAGGGTGGCGTCGAAAGCAGAATGGCCGAGTGTGGTGTTCTCTGTAGCAGACTCACTCGCATGTGAGATATGGAGGAGCGCCGAGAGAGGGCGTAAGAGGAAAAGCACAAAAAGCAGCAAGAGACAGACGTCAAAATTTGTCCATATTGTTACTTTTTTATTATTATTTCCTTCAATATACTGTTTATTTTACCAGAAGTAACTCTCGCGAATTTATTCTCCCCTTACGCGATCCCACAATATCTATATATTTCGACTTACCAGTTTTGGTTAAAAGTACAATGAGCCGCTGTCAGTACCACTCTATCGGAAATCAAACTACCACCACATAGCCACAGTATCTCATTTTTTTCATTTTCAAATCCGATGGCTGCCATGTGTGGAAATTCTTTCGGCTCAGCATTCTTACCTCCGACGACAAATATGAATGATAGCATGGTGTCTTCCATTGGTTTCATAGGACCGGCCTTCGCAGCTGATAATTCCAAATCAAAAGCAACTTCTGCATTTTCCGCACATTCTATATAAAGAAATTACGTTGAACTAAATATATATATACAGGGTGTTTGATAGCTGATCATGCAGACGAAAGTTGAAGATAGATTGGGTGTAGCCGAGAAGAAAAGTCGCGAACGACGAGGAGCGAGCGAGCGCAAGCGACAAGAGGCGAGCGAGCGCGAACGACGAGGAGCGAGCGAGCGCAAGTGACAAGAGGCGAGCGAGCGCGACGAGGAGCGAGCGAGCTATAAGGAAAAAGCTATAAAGAAAAAGCTCGCTCGCTCCTCGTCGCGCGCGATCGCTTCTTGTCGCTTACGTTGCCCCTCGCCGCGCGCACTTGCCTCATACTGATCAGATATATGTATTATGTTTCAAAAAGTTGGAACATTGCATTCGAAATATAGAAGATGTCCAATGAGAGAAAGAATTTAATTTGTAAGAATTTTTTATAAACAAATTATTTTACTGGGCCATCGACTATATTCAGAACTGCACCTTAAAAAAGATGTTCAAATCGTTTTGAAAATCAGGACATACATAATATACATAATATTTTCTTACTCATACATAATATTTTCTTAACCCCTTGACTGTAGAAGCAGAAATGGATTAGTCATGTCATTTTTGTGTTGGAGAAAAATGTTATTAAATTTTTTTATGACATTATTATTAAAGTTCTTAGGATCGCTGAATTCGAATTTGACATAAAAATTTTAAAACTCTAAATGATGGAATAAAAGTTTTAAATATGAATTTCAAAAACATGAAAATAATACTGCTTTGTCAAATTAGGACTTCAACTAGCATTAAAAATAAAAATAATAAAAATAAAAAGAAATTAAAAATTATAAAAACAAAACAAATTAAAAATTATAAAACAAAAATAAATTAAAAACTATGAAAACCCTCGGGAAATTAAAAACTATATAAACAGAAGAAGATATAAAAATGGAATAAAAATCTAATAGATACATTTTCACGAAAATCCGATTATTTTCAAAATTTTTACACTCCATATTAGGTCCATTTTGAATTTTGAAATTTTGATATCAAATTCGAATTCAGCAATCCCAAAATTGTATAGATATACCCATTTATACACAAATAACAATAACTTTACTATTTTCTTTCTTTGTGCGTATACGTCACCCACACTGGTGGCACGACTTTTTCATGCGCGTATACACGTCGCCCAAAGTCAAAGGGTTAATTATATGATCAAACGAATTCCTGAGTGAAGTTCGATCATAATTATGCGTATGCTTTCGTCCGAGTAGATTACATGTAGTCATGTCACATGACTCCCGAAATGAACAAGCATCTTCAAAGATGAGCACCAAAACAAAACAATTTGGCGCCCCGCTCAGTGCCGCGCGCGGCGCTGTCCGCTGCGCGCGCACCCGTCTTCATGGTTCAAAGCCGTCACAAATCGAAGGTGGGAAGGAATGACGAACGAAGTTCCAAAGAAAAGGAGGGTGACTCTACTCGGACGAAAGCATTCGCATAATTATGATCGAACTTCACTCAGGAGTTCGTTTGATCATACAATTATGCTATGCGTTTCGTCCAAGTAGATTACATGTAGCTGTTCAAAGCCACGATTTGTGACCGTGAGATATTTCTTTTTTCCTTTTTGAAGAAAAGTCCTTACAGAGACCAAAAGAAAAAGGACGCTATGCATCTGTTAGGTAGCACAACGAAGTGAAATATGCAAAGGTAAAATTATTAGCACAATTCCTAGCATAATGCACTTAGAAAAGAAAAGGATTAAGCTCGCAGTTAATGATTCAAGATAATCGCTTCAGTCCCCTTAGTTGTGGGTAATAATGGTTGGTTATAAAAAATTCGTTGAAATTGACGAAGTGGACGACCAGCCTGCCGCTTTTCGAATATCGTCAACAGAAATACCTTTTTGAAGCGCGGCCGAAGAGCCGGCGTGACGAGTAGAGTGAGTCGTAAAAAATTGAGGTATCAACTCTTCCTTCAGACAGTGTTAGTCGCATCCAACGACTAATCGTTTGAGCGGATGCGGTACGGACGGGCTTCTTAAAATTAAGAAATAAGGCCGAAGAGGATTCTGACGAAGAATTATGCGCTGTCTTACTAATATATAAATTCAATAACTAAAAAATTGACAAGGCAGGCTGATCATCAAAGTGATGGAAAAACTATGACCGTTTGAGGCCGCTTCGAACCAGAGGTTTTTATACGATCAGGTACTTTAATAATAACGGTAGTTTCGAGGAATGAATATTACGTCGCTTAATTAACCCTAGAGTCTGTACACGCTGCACTGAAGCTAAAATTTGCAAGGTGGCAAGTTTGCGCGTAAGAAGTTCTAAAGACAAGGTCAAATAGAGGCCAAATATGACAGGCGTTGGATCCCATGTCAGTGCGTGCTTGGGTTTAGAAGGTTTTAAAACTGATACGCCTCTGAAAGAACGCCGTACTCTGTCGTCTGAGCCAAGATTAACATCCGTGATAAGCGAGAGCGCTGAGCAATACAATTTAGGGTTCCATAAGCGTTAACTTTACGAAACTGCGAAGATAAGAAGGAGAGAACCAGTGTTATTATACATATTTTATTATTTTATATACACTCAAACGCAAAAAACCCGGTACACTAAAAATTTGGGAAAAAATTACAAAATTTCAAATGATCATAACTTGGTAAATAATGAAGATACAAATATGCGCAGAAATGCAAAATGAAGCTTGAAACGTCCTCTTTAAGAATATCTGAATGGCAATTATGCTCGGCCATTTTTTTCAAAATGGCGGATGATAAAGTGAGAGGATGCAAAATTGATAATCAAAGGTCCGTGTTTGCGATGGTGCATGGTGTGCATCAGGTATCGCAGCGTAATGGGACCAAATGCACATGAAAGTATAGAGTGTTATCTTTAAAATGCTACTTTACCGAGCTCGATGTGATCATTTTTCATTGAGTTGTCCAAATTTTGCTAAAAATGCGGTTTTCTTGTTAAATTTGCATAATTCAGTGAATAAGTATCGCATCAAGCTCTATAACGAAGTATTTTAAAGAAAACATTCTATACTTTTAGGTACTTTTCGTCCCATTGAGCTGCGACACTTACTTTGCTCCATGCGCCGTCGCACGCTCGAACCTTTTTTTAGCAACTTTTCATGTTCTCCTTTTTATCACCCGCCATTTTGAAAAAATATCGTTGCGCACAATTTCGATAGATCTTTCGAAAAGTACGATTTCAAAGCTTTCAAACAATTTTTGAAATTTGCTGCTAGGATATTTAGGTGTCGAGATATTCAATTTCGAATTTGCAACAAATGTCGATTCAGCGAGGCTTAAGGGGCTAAGATGCTCTGCGGTTCGTTTGGCTCTTTCATAATTTCAATAACCGCGTTAATTATTCTCTATACAATAATTTACACAATTTTGTGAATTGGAAATTTAATTTTTATCAAAAGTTATCATTCTTTACCCTTCAGTTACGCATGATCACTGTGGTATACACTTTAGTTCGCGAAGCTGTCCCTAGCTCTTTACCTTCTCCGTAAGATTGGCCATTATGGTACACAGCTTGAATATGCTGTTCAGGATCGCGCCTGAGTTCGCAGTGACCCTGCGCGCGGGATGCCGAGTCGCTGGACGCCACCTGAACGTCGAAATTCCCTGGCGCTCCCAGTCCACGGAGCCGCCGCGACGCGGCGATCTGGGTTGTCGCGCGCGTGAGTCCCTCGGCTCGCACGCGAGTTCGAGCTGCTCAGGGCATATAAGAGTGCCCGCGGAGACGATCAGAGATTGTCTTCGTACAGCTTTTGGCCTTCGTACGGTCCACTGCCGATAGTGGCACTATCTCTTGTAAGCTGGACTTCGCGAGTTTGTCAGTACGCCGGGCTTACGTTCTGGCTGCTCAAGTTATTGCTTTAATTGAAGATGGCAGAAGTCGAAGGTACGTTGCTCAGGCACTTGATTTGTCAGTGTCAACTGTGCAACGTGCTTATGCCAGGTACTTACAAACCAATTTTTTCCATAGAAGGCCTGGTTCGGGACGTCCTCGATGTACCAATCACAATGATGACCGATTTATTGTTTCAAATTCGTTAAGAGACAGACATCGAACATCTGTTCAAATTAGAAACAATTTAAGGGATGTCCGCAACATTAATGTATCCGTTAACACCGTTCGGAGAAGATTAAAGGAACAAAATCTGCTTTCGCGCAGGCCAGCAGCTGTACCTTTGCTTAAATGTCACCATCGCGTAGCTCGACTCAATTTTGCAGTTAAGTATAGAGACTGGACTTACGCAGACTGGAGCAAAGTACTCTTTAGCGATGAATCTCGTTTTTGTGTCTATTCTCCAGATGGACGAGAACGAGTTTATCGTCGCGGTGGAGAACGATTTGCAGACTGTACAGTAAATGAGAGGCATAGCTACAATGGAGGCTCTGTAATGATTTGGGCAGGAATTTCAGCTAATGCTCATACAGATCTGCACTTTTTTGACAAGAATATGACCGCAGATGTATACGTGGAAGACATACTCATTCCGTATGTTGTTCCGTACGCACCCTTTATCGGAGAGAACTTCTTGTTTATGCAAGACAATGCTCGACCACACACTGCGAGAAGAGTGCTTGATTTCTTCGATGAAGTTGGCATAAATCGACTCGATTGGCCAGCAAATAGTCCAGATTTAAATCAAATCGAACACTTATGGGACAACCTCGGCAGGAAAGTACGAAATCACGTACCTGCTCCTCAGTCACTGCGAGAACTGCGAATAATTCTCGAAAACGAATGGAATACAATTACGCAGGATGAAATTAAAAGACTAATAAGGAGTATGCCTGATCGTATGAATGAGGTAATATGCGCACGAGGCAGTCATACCCACTATTAGTACACACACACCACACACACAGCAGAGAGGGTTTGGAGTCATTAATTACTGCAGGAGTGACGAACTGCCGGGTCCTTATCTCTGCTGTAACACCACACACACACACACACACACACACACACACCACAAGGAGGGTGTGAAATCTTGAAATACTGTGGAGCTGACGAACCACGGGGTCTTTATCCTTGTGGTATACAAACACACACACACACACACACACACTACATACAATGGGACTTTTCCTACCAGTAAAACTCCATGCGGTTTATATTGGGAAGACTTACAACCATAATTTGAGCGGTATCTTAAAACGCAATTCATCTTTATTACGTAATATCGATTACGCAAAATGAAGAACCTAAATTGAATTTTACTTTCATTTCCCTGGCTTTCAAAATAATAAATGCAAATCATTGAATATATTGTGCTGGTTATGTAAATTATTATATAGAGAAACATGAACACAGCTATTGAAATTATGAAAGAGCCAAACGAACCGCAGAGCCTCTTAGCCCCTTAAGCCTCGCTGAATCGACATTTGTTGCAAATTCGAAATTGAATATCTCGACACCTAAATATCCTAGCAGCAAATTTCAAAAATTGTTTGAAAGCTTTGAAACCGTACTTTTCGAAAGATCTATCGAAATTGTGCGCAACGATATTTTTTCAAAATGGCGGGTGATAAAAAGGAGAACATGAAAAGTTGCTAAAAAAAGGTTCGAGCGTGTGACGGCGCATGGAGCAAAGTAAGTGTCGCAGCTCAATGGGACGAAAAGTACCTAAAAGTATAGAATGTTTTCTTTAAAATACTTCGTTATAGAGCTTGATGCGATACTTATTCACTGAATTATGCAAATTTAACAAGAAAACCGCATTTTTAGCAAAATTTGGACAACTCAATGAAAAATGATCACATCGAGCTCGGTAAAGTAGCATTTTAAAGATAACACTCTATACTTTCATGTGCATTTGGTCCCATTACGCTGCGATACCTGATGCACACCATGCACCATCGCAAACACGGACCTTTGATTATCAATTTTGCATCCTCTCACTTTATCATCCGCCATTTTGAAAAAAATGGCCGAGCATAATTGCCATTCAGATATTCTTAAAGAGGACGTTTCAAGCTTCATTTTGCATTTCTGCGCATATTTGTATCTTCATTATTTACCAAGTTATGATCATTTGAAATTTTGTAATTTTTTCCCAAATTTTTAGTGTACCGGGTTTTTTGCGTTTGAGTGTATATATGTTATTATATATAGCCGGGCAAAACCAATTAAGTTTATGCTGAGTGCAGAAATTCCACCACAATTGAATGGGCTTGGAATATTGCGATAGCGTCGAGGCTTCAAGCGATGCGAAGGCTGTCTCTATAGCGTCGTCCGGAAAACCTTTTCGGTTAAACGCTTGCCTAATAATCTTCCTATTACCAGGGAAATGTTGTGCCCTTGTAGATGAGGCGCCTTATTTGCTTTGCATACAGCGTCTGTTCTAATGGATTCAACCAAAGTTCCCGCGAGCGGGGGAAAGGAATTATAAGAAGAGGTATTTTATAGCCTGAAACTGCGCTTAAAACGTCAGAGTCGTTAGTGAGATCTGACCAGATCTCGAAAATTTGAGCAAGCCTGTCCGCAATGCTTACCTCTATATGTGGGGGCGCTGGCTCCTGGTCTGAGAGCTCGACCGATGTCTCGTCGACTGAGGTACAACTCTTGCCTGGCGACAAGACGCTGATTTGTTGGCAAAGGTTCTCGTATTTCCCTATGATGAGGGTTTATGAGCAAAGGAAGATCGGCTCTTATTGTAGTTGTAGTATTCGCTTTCGCAGGTGCCTACACTAGAGTAGTAAAGCTGCGAACTAACTTGTCTGCTGCTGCTACATCTTTCATTTTTGGTTAAATATTGTTCACCAAAAAGCTGATTGTCAATAGGCGACGCATCAAGAACGTTTCTAGCGGATGAAGTTAACATAGGCATAATCAGACCATGTCTAGCCTTAGATGTATGATGCTGGACCTGAGAGATTAAGTGGCCAGCATCGCTTGAAGTTTCAAAATACGTTTGCGTGTTATTGAAGCCGCAATTGCGCTGCAATTGCGGCTTCAATAACACTTTGAGTGACGACTTTAAATGTGGAACGCTTCACGATTTTGTGTGTCATCCTGCGCAGGGGTTATGCCAATCTTCCCTGTGTCGTTCTAATTTTAGTATATGTATTGCCGAAGCAAGTACTGATAAACATCTCGCCTAACCACTGTAAAGGTGGAGGACCATGTCGCATTAGCTCATGGACTGACGGACCTGGGGCCACATCATCCGGATCATCCCTCAATAAAACTCTCTTACACTCTCAGCAATTTCGTCTTGCTGAGAAGGTGTGACGTCGTATCCGGAAGAGAGGATTTCGTAAAAGTAACAGAAGGATGAGCTATCTCCTCCGTTTCCTCTTACTGGCAAGTCGCTGAGTATATTATTGCGAGTGAACATAGAGCCAGAGAAACGTTATTCTTAATGAGAATGAGATAAGCGGCTCTGGGCATGCCTCGAAGGACAGCCTCACTATGAGAGAATCTAGTGGACAAGACCAAACTCTAGGTAATAGTTTGCAATCCAGAAATGATGTCACTGGGCCTGCCTCGAAGGACAGCCTCAAGACATTAACTCAGGCTCACCTCCAGGGTTAGAGCTTTCCGTGTTCTCAAGCGGAGGATCTGGTTCCGTCGTACAGGTTTCCTGACCGTCCGCACCGATGGAGAGGTTATGTTCGACACGATCGGCCTCCTGCCGATCCGTGCGGGTTGAGCCCGAGTGCATGAGTAAATTGAGAAGAGCATCCAACTTCTTCTCCAAGGAAATTGTCAACGGACGTTCTGATGAACGAGAATGCACACTGGAAGAGCAGTGTCGTTGTCCGCGGGATTCGTCACGCGGACACTTCGATCTGGAGGTTATATTACCTCTGTATTCGTGTCCGGAGAACGTTCGCCAGAATATCCTGAAGGAAAAAAGTAATAGATTAGTGTGACCGGAAGCGAGACCGTTTTCGGGACTTTGAATGAGAATGCTTTCCCATAATTTGAAGAGAGGAAACACTCGATGCTATTGTTCGGGAGAACAAGCAACACAATGAAGACGGGTGCGTGCACAGCGGACAACACCGCGCGTGGCACCGAGCGGGGCACCAAATTGTCTTGTTTTGGCGCTCATCTTTGAAGATGCTTGTTCATTTCGGGAGTCATGTGACATGACTACATATAATCTACTCGGACGAAACGCATAGCATAATTGTATCTATCAGCTAATTGTAGCATTGATTACTTTCATTTTCAACGTTCCTCTTATTATCCATCTTTTATTGAGGAATGAATTAGAATTACTTACTTGCTCGCGCTAATGATCCTCTGGTGTTGTCGAATATCAAAGTCTGCGTGTTTATTCTTTCGGTGGAGCTTGTGGTTAGTTTTGACATTATCCTTTCCGTGGTGATATCCTTTCCGTTTTCATTGTTTGTCGGGCAACAGACTATCGGCTCAAAACCTACAAATCCGCACGTAATGGGTAAGTTTCCGACTAACAATGCGTCGTAAACTAGCGGGCAGTATTGCAAGAACTTGCATACACCTGACGTCAAGAACCCTCTTGAATCGCTAATTATACATCCTTCTGGAAATTACAAAAGGATCATTAGCGAACTTAAAAAAACTTATTTTAACATTTTGACAGTCGCTACCATGTATATGACCTTATTTTTCTAATTATCGCTTAATAGAAAAGTATTTGTCAACAACAGTCCCTAATAATAATAATAATAATAGTAATAACGTTACACATTAAAAAAATTGTTCGAGTCCATAGAATAATATTTAAATTAAATAATAAATCAAATAAATGATTAGTGGGTTTGCATGCTTGCAAGGAAATTGTTATCTCATTTTACAGATTAATTTTTTTACATGAAGTAAATATTATTTTCAATAAAAAAACATATTTTTTAATCAAAGTTCTCTCTTTATTTTTGATTTCACAAAAATTTATTTCTGCTGTTAGATGTTTCAATTAATTCTCGCTGTTTTTTGCAAAAAAACTTATGTTTATTTCAAAAGAACGGTACATTATATTATATTCAAAGTACTGTTCTTCGGAAGCTATAACCTTTCGAATAACACATGGATTTCGCGGTAGAAAAATTCTTTTGAGGCTTTGAGGAGAAAGATTCTTTTGAGGCAATCTAGTCATCGAGCCATTTTTTATCTTTAGATAATAAAATAATAAGATAATATAATCTTTAGATAAGATAAGGTCTTCGAAATATCTAAAGTGCTACTCAGAAAGGCCATGCTACATCAATCGAAATAAATGGTAATCTGAAGGAGGAACATCTGGTGAATAGGGCGGGTGGGATAAGACATCCCATCCAAGTGTCTCCAAGATTTCTTTCACTGGCTTTGCAACATGTGGTTTACCATTGTCATGGAGAAGAATAATTTTCTCACGTCTTTTGGCGTATTGCAGGCGTTTTTCTTTGAGTGCTCGATTCAAATTGAATAATTGTCGTCGGTAGCGTTCAGCATTAATGGTTTGACTTGGTTGCAGCAGCTCATAATATATTATACTAACTTGATCCCACCAAATGTACAGCATTTTTTCCATGAATATCCTATTATGGCTTTGATGTTGATGGTTCACTGGGATGCACCCATGGTTTCTTGCGCTTAGGATTGTCGTAACGAATCCATTTTTCATCGCCAGTCACAATTCGATACAAAAACAATTTCTGTTTTTGTCTTCGAAACAGCAATTCACAAATGGTTAAACGTTTCGCAATGTCTCTTTCTCTCAATTCATGTGGGATCTAGTTTTCTAGCTTCTATTTCCCATTGCTGTTAAACGTTTGCTAATGGTTGACTTATCGACATTTAGTGTTTCCGAAAACTCTTTGAGTGTCTGACATCTTCTTCTAGTAATGCCTCCAATTCTCCATCTTTAAACTTTTTCGGCTGATCAGGGCGCTCTTTGTTTTTCATGTGAAAATCGTTATCTTTAAATCGTCGAAACCAATCTCTGCGAGTTGTTTCTGATAAAGTATACTCCCCATAAGCCTCCACTAGCAAACGATGACTTTCAACAGCAAATTTATTGAGATGAAAGCAGAAAAGTAATGCTTCCCACAAATGCTCTTTTTTTGATATGAAACTCAACATTTTCAATGTAATAAAAAATTGTGTTCTTTGTACTCCGATCTAATGTCACACACTGATTATTAAAGCCTATTGACAGTATTTTTATATACTGTGACGTGGCGATTTTGGATCGCTCATCACAAGACGGAGGGCCTCCGAGAGGGTTCCGGGGACGTCGCGCTCGCCCGCGCCCGCGGGGCGAGCGGCATTTTATCGACACTTTGTCGCGGATGCATTTCGTGTTGACGAGCGATCTCGTACTGACGAGCGAGATTGCTTTTCTTTTTCTTTTTGGTGATACTCCCGCCTCCTTATAACGTGTGTGCCCCTTCGCCGCGAGTAGCCTCCGACCAGCAAGAGCAGTGGACAAGAGAAATTGGACCGAGGAGGAAAGAGGGAAGGAATCGAGGAGCCGCCGCGAGCACTAAGGGACCTCTCAGGTGATGTCGTTGGCCAGCTCCTAATTTTGTTTCTCGAACAATTGTGCCGTTAACATCGCACCGCTGTTGATGTATTTTTGTATATTGTCGCAGCAAAGAAAACAAACCGGGACACGACATCTGATAACGAGGAACCTGGATCACGCGGAAGATGCTCGTCGAAAGAAAGGAAAATATAGAGCAACATCTTGACGTCGCGTGATCCCGGAAGGAAAAAATTGGAGCAGGGAAGGAGCAGCCGGAGCAACGTCTCTCGGGATCGGAGGAGAAGGATCCACTCTGAGCGAGGACGCGATTTTGGAACGACCGTCGAAATTGTTAGTTGTCGGAAAAAAAAAACATAGAGCTACCGAAATTAGAGGTACGAGTGGCCGCAAATTGGTGTCGTGCGGGTACCGCCCTGACTCCGACAGTGGATCGCATACCGATATTGCGAATAACGCGAGTATCGCCTCCGTTGTCGAGGTGGGATTAGTGCCGTAGAGAGGCCCAGGCGGAAGCGAGCCAGAGAGAGAGAGAGAGAGAGAGAGAGAGAGAGAGAGAGAGAGAGAGAGAGAGAGAGAGAGAGAGAGAGAGAGAGAGAGGGAGGGAGGGAGGGAGGGAGGGAGGGAGGGAGGGAGGGAGGGAGGGAGGGAGGGAGGGAGGGAGGGAGGGAGGGAGGGAGGGAGGGAGGGAGGGAGGGAGGGAGGGAGGGAGGGAGGGAGGGAGGGAGGGAGGGAGGGAGGGAGGGAGGGAGGGAGGGAGGGAGGGAGGGAGGGAGGGAGGGAGGGAGGGAGAGAGAGAGAGAGAGAGAGAGAGAGAGAGAGAGAGAGAGAGAGAGAGAGAGAGGAGAGAGAGAGAGAGAGAGAGAGAGAGAGAGAGAGAGAGAGAGAGAGAGAGAGAGAGAGAGAGAGAGAGAGAGAGATGAAGCGAGCGCAGGCGGTGAGGGGGAGAGCGAGCGTATCTGACAAGCGGAGGAGCGCGACTTACCCGAGGGAGGCTGCCGCCGGCGTGCGAACGTGTAAGAGTATCTGTCTGTGGTAGCCCTTTGTCTGTATGAACCACTTGCGCGGCGGGACCGATCGGCGGCTGTCAGACTTTGGCAAAAATTTGTGTTGAGTATTGGTGGCCGAAGCCGTTTAGCGGTCTTCCCGCGGAATGCGGGGAGCAGGGCGTCTCTCTCTCGTAAACGGGTATCGGCAGCTATCGAAATCGCGGATCGCATGCCACGAGGACACACCGAGGTCACTATCGCCTCTTCGTCAGAAGTCATTCGAGGACCTTTTGTCAGCGGTCCGCGAGTCACCGCTTTATACCGAAGAGCTATTGCTGAGTAGCGATTCGGGTGGAATTCCGTTGTCGCCCGGAAGAGAATACATAATTGTGATCCCGTGGTTACACGGGCGGAAATATACGTTTGTTTTATGTCAGAAATCTTGAGTCCTCTTTATTTCCAATTAATACCCTCCGTTTCCCGAGGATCCTGAGAGAAAAGACCTACTCCCGACTCCGACTATAATAACAGGAGCTACCGGTCTCGTAGGCGATTGAGTCGTCTCGCCGCCGCTACAGCTATCGTTCGCGTTAGTGAGCACGAGAATCGTACCTGGTGCCCAACAACTCCCGTTTTGGTGAAATTTTAGAAAGCGGAGGGCGACTGACAGGTCGTCTCGAATTTTGCCCGCTTCCTAAGCGCTAGGAGCGGTCGCAATACACCAAAGGTTATTTTTGACCATGTTAAAATGGTACAACTACTGACATCTATTAGTCAACAGCGAGTGTTAATTCAAGCACCTAAAAATAATTTTTTTAACTGGAGATACTGCGAATCAAAATAAAATTTTCTTTTAATAAAAAATGCAGATTTTGCGATTAAATAAACTTTAAATCAACTTTATTTATTTATCACTTACTAAAATTTTTATCTTTAAGAAATATTTTTCTGGTAGCATTCATCAAATTTTTTAAGTATTGATTTTGTTAAGTATTGATCTGTTTTAACATGTAATATCAAAAATGGAAATAATATTTCAGTTAAAATTAATTCTTAATATAAAATACTTCAGTTTAATATAAAAATTTTGCAAGGACAAAAATAAAAAGCATCGAATGTCAATTCCATTCATGTATAATAATACTATATTTTTATGATTTTACGGAGTTTTGGGAAAACGAAATGGGATAATATTGCGCTATAAGTAAATATGTTACGTTGTTTTTTTTTCTGTTATGTTATACTCAACGATTGTCTTTGTGTATATTTTTCCACACTACTACATAAAAACGAATTAATTTTAATTATAATATGCAACATATTACATAATATAAAGAAGTGAACATAGATGAATATGCATATATAACAAAAGTAATAAGTGTACGGCGCCGAAATTTGTGTAAAAGTTTCCCAAAGTTCCCAAAGTACATTTCTAGAATTAAATATATGGAATATATGGAAATATATGGAATCCACGTTCAGTACAATATTAAGAATAACTCGATACAAGCTCAAGGTGAATTAACACAGCCGCAATGCATAAATTAAAGAAACAGATATTTTTTTATTTCTGCAGGCGCAAGTGCGTGTATAAATATAGTATATTATTCACAATTGTGATTAAGAAAATGCAACAAAGTTTAATTTAAATTATGGAGTACAATATAGATATAAATTATGGATATAATATAGAAAAACATAATATTTAGAGATATAAGATGCAATTATATAACATGCCACAAAATGTTTTCAAGTTCAATAAAATATTTATTTTTGCATATTTTGTTAATATACATGAATTATAATTTATTTAAATAAAATTATTTTAGTTTTAATTGGTTTTTACCAATTGTAACAAAACGATATACATACAAATGTTTTCATAGAAATCTTTGTTGGAGCATATTGTCAACGTAGGACATTTTATCTGATTTTATATTCAATATGTTTCTCTATATTATACTATTCCATAATTTTTATTAACCTTTGTTACATTTTCTTAATCGCATATGTCAAGGTCAAAGACGTTCTTAGGTGTTCTTAAAAAAACAAATATATTTACTGATGTTATTCTCATGTTTTTGTCGAAAAAAGGGAAAATAACAAAATTACATATAATATTTTTCACATGAAATTTTTTAAAAACTGCTTAACATACTTACAAACTTGCACAAGCCTTATTATGCTAGGTTCATTCCGATTTACGTAAATATGCGTACTTATCTATTTTTGAATTACGTGCACTTTTCAGACGATTTCTGAGAGTTACGCTTTTATTCTTCTTGCCTCCCTCTCTTACCTGTCGAATTATGCGATTGACTGTCGCGGCACTTGGATTCAAAATAATTAACTTCATTAGTCATAAAATCTATAAGACGATCTTTAATTGCTGAAAAGATCTTATTGAAACTAATATTTTCTCGTTGTATTATAATAATAATCATATAAATGTGTTAGTAATATATAGAAATAATATATATAGAGGACTAGTTTTAGAAGTAGAAATTTTTTTAGAAACTAACGTGCTTCTCACAGATCTTATAGAATTGACGGTCCTGATGTTAAACACAAAAACTGTCAGTCAATGCGGTTCGACGGGTGAGACAAAGGAGAAAAAGTAGGCGTAGCTTTAAGTCGCATTAAAAATGATAACTCCGAACATTGCTATAAATAAATGTACGCATATGCCTGAAACAAAATCACATATTTGCTCGACATTGATAAACCAAATTAAAATATTTGGTTACGTATAACGTTCGTTTTCGATTCTTTTATAATAGTATCAAAGATTACTTACCTCCAACATATTCCCCATGTATCGGTGACAGGATTAATGATAGTAACGTCAGTAGAGTCAGTGAGAGGTTAGCCACGCCAGTTAACATTCTTGATAACAGCCTTGGTCGCAGGTTTCTGGTTCCAAGGTTTCTTCGCGACAGAAGATATACCCCGTCCGACTTGTCTGTTCATTTATATCTATTTGCATGGTCCCCACCATATCGCAAGCAGTCCCACGATAGGAGTGATGGTGGATTGTGACATCATCTCACATAAATTTTTTTTTCATTTTTCATTCCAAGCCATATAATTAGCGCGCTTGTTTTCGACAAAAATGACTAATTTTATATTCACAGTAGAACTGAATATGCATGTAATCGATAAATTATTAATGTAAAATTCCACAAGTAAATAATTTCGTAGTAAGAAAGGAAACCAGTATATATACGGTGAATTTAATTTGTAAACTTTCCGTTACAGGAAAAGCTGCTCCTTTTTGTAACAATATCTTGCGTAAATTTTATGCTTCCGTTGTGCTTCTGTTGTCATAAATAGCAATAGGGATTTTTTATATATATTGACTTAAGTTCTAGTTAAACGCAAATACAATGGGTTTTGATTTCTAGTTCAGTATCTTATATACAGGGTATACACGAGTAAGTGATATAACTTTTTACCGCATGATTTAGCATTACCAACAACACTGTAGTTAATTAAGTCGCGTATAGATATCATACGCATCGTGTCGTTATCGGCAAGTTCAGATGGTTGACTTTTTGGCTGCTTGAGTTAAGATCCTAATACGAAAAGTTGTAGATACTTAATGTGGTAATGCATTATAAAAATGTAATAAAAAATAACATTATGTGAGTCTTAAAACTTTTCCCGCTACAGGCATAATTTTCGTGGCCTTTTTCACATTTTTATAATGCATTACCACATTAACTCTACACCTTTTCGTACTAGAGTCTTAGCTCAAACAGCCGAAAAGTCAACCATCTGAACCGATAACGACATGATGCGTGCAATATCTATACGTGGCTCAATTAAGGGGTTATATACATTTAGTAGGGTCAAAAAAATTGATTCTTTTTATATTTTCTTAAAACTTCAAGTTTTGAGAATATATCTTGAACATTTTATGTCGATATTATGGCAAAAATGGCGAAGTTACAGAAAGTTGAGTAAAACAGGATCGAGCGTTCGAGCGTTCGAATTCTGCTACCTGACGCGGCCAGTAGAGCGTTCACGAACACGGCATTCTTCTGTGTGTGCATGTTTCTGGAGGCACTAGTTTCGGGTCTCTATTGTTTAATGTAGAGGAAGAGAAAACTGTTAAAATTCAGTTCGGAAGTTGTTAAGCTAGCGAGAATAAGTGTTGACAGACTGTAATTGTTTGCTCCGTTGTTTAGAATTTCGAAGCATACGTAAAATAACAATGGTACCAAAATAAAAAATTAGTCGAGAAGTAAGAGCTTCTACTTCGTGTAGATGAGACAGAGCGAGGAAGAGAAAACGACCATTATGGTGCTCATAGCAGCGAGCAAAAACCGAAGGAACTTTGGTGTAATATCAACATAAACCGCCGATGTACGATTATGTGATTAAAGCCATTCGTCCAATATATGAACAACTTTCGAGTGACAATTTACTGGAGAGATGCGTTGGTGGATTTACGTAAAACGTAAATGAAATTATGAGCAATCTGATTTCGCGCATGGCGCTAAAAGTGCAGCACAGCGGTGCACATTGTGCAAATTGCTGCCAATATTGCTGCATGCATTTTTAATGAAGGTGCTATTGTATATTCATTAATAATGCATGCATTACAAATAAATATTGGTGCACAATTGTGCCGCATATTGCGAATATCAAGACCAAGTGCGCATCGATGTGACCGAAGTGCAAGCGCAGGAGGCGAGGCGCGAAGGAAGAATTCTTCGCTGTCAACAGAGGTCTTCGTGGAACGATGCTGCTACTGACGTGAAAGGTACATTGGGGTGCATTATATCATGCCGCGTCAGGAGAAATCCTCCGGCGGTTCCCTCCTACTGCGCATTTTCTTCATACTTCCTTCTCTAGCGGATTACAATTATATAATTATATAATTACTCGTACGAGATAAGTATAATATTTTTTGTTCCGGGGGTATCAATAAGTATACGTATGCATACACGTGAATATTAACATTTATAAATGTATGTTTATATATATACATTATGGTATATGTAGAAATAACTGATAAATTGGTATAAATAGTTAAAAATGCCCGATTTTAATGATTTTTCGACTTTTATGGACGTCATTTTATTCTCTGCCATATTTATTCGTATGAAATATCTTCTAGACATACTCGAATGTCATATCAGGTCGAAATTTTGTGGTAAGGAAACAACGCGAAGCATCGCGAAGTAAAGAAATGAAACCTAATTTACTGCATTTTTGAGATTTTTTCACCTTTCGGTCGCCATATTGGGTCCGCCATATTGAAAATTTACAAAATAAATTGCATAGGTTTTTATGACAAATAGTTTATGCACGATCATCATTGGTTTTAGGCTTACTGCAATGCCGGATCAAGATGAGAATTTGGACTTTTTAAAAATCGATTAAAAAAAGGTTTTAAAAGAACTATAAATTTCTCGTTTTCTTTATTTAAATTGCAAAATTTATTGTTAAATATGCGTCAAATCGATTTTTGGACTTTGGATTTTGAAAGAGCACATACAAAAATGCTCGGATATGTATTTTTTATAATTTTTTTCGATGGATCAATTTCAGGCTAACGAAAGTGCAGAGATAAACACATGTAAGTTTGACGTTAATGGGTTAATATAAATAGGCAATACGGTCTACTCAAGCCTGATGAAGGCATTAAAAATACAGAAAAACATAAAACTACACAACAAAGCATCCACAAAAAAGCGGAACGGAATTTCTGATTGATTAGCTCTACACCATTTCTTTTATTTGTTACTGTGCTACTTTACTATTTTTTTTCGATCGGAATGCACCCTTATTCGCAATAGAAAACATTTACAGCTTTTAATAGATTGCATGAATAATTATGTTATATAACATCAATGTAATATGAATGTAATTACTGTTATATAACATGTTACATTACTGTTATATTATTGTTATAATGTTATCTCCAGTTTATAACAAAACAATGTAACAAATATATAATACAATTATATTACAATTATGAAACCAAATTATATAACCTCAATATAACTAGAGTATAACATATATTATATTACATGTAATTTCTATGTTATATAACAGTTATATTCTGTGTTTGCTAAGTTGTTTTTGAAAAATTCTTAATCACATTTTCGCATTTAAGCAGAGCAACTCAACACAACACACATCATATCATATGTATTTTTTCACCAAATTTTTATTTAATATCTTAATAATTATCGTAATTGCTTGTAACATGATAAAAGACATTTTTACTTCATAATTTCTATGTACGAGCAGATGTACATATTATGTCAGATACTTTATATAATTGGGATTAAAATAAGAGGAGAATAGAATTAAAATTATAAAGAGAAAATTTTTATAAGGGCAAAAATATTATTATGAATTATACTTAATAATAAAATATATTTAAAAGTGAATTCTTAAGTGTCCTGATTATTTTTGAAGTACTCCGGCCATGCCACTCTTTCTATCCAGGGGATGTAGTGATAGACTCGAGTGTACACACCAGGTATGATACTTCCACACAGTCGTCCTATACTCGCAATACCAATTATGTTATACATACAGTCATGATTTGTGTTAAAAACGGTCAAAGGTCCTCCGCTGTTAACCTAACAAACATATTACACAAAATATATTGGCTTCGAGTGGAACGTAAAACTAGAACTTTTTATTTTTGCGCGGGCGACAGAAACTATTATTTAGATAATTTTTCGGATCTCCTGATCTTCCGATGCTTTTCCAACGTTATCTGATATTGATCAAATAATATAACTGATTATTTTATTTAGATCTAAATTTGGATTCAGAAATTGCAATAAAATATTGATGAAATTAATCATCGGAAATATAGGGAAACAATTTTGAAAAGAGAGAATAATTTACATATTATTAAATGAATATTCTCGATTCGAAACAAGAATTAATATATTACCTCACAAGCATCTCTTCCTTCTTCTCCTGCACATATTTGCCATTCATCAACAATGCCTCGTTTGAGCTGAGTATTGCCGTCTTCGAAAAAACTCTCATTGCAAGACTGCTGAGGAACTAAACTGAGCATTACTTTCAGCAAATCGTCGGAGTATTTATCGTCGGCTGTAACACAAAGTAATGAAAATTACAAAGCTATTTAAAGATTCACAATAAAAATTTCTGTTATAATATATAGTAATCCAATTCTCCTAATATTATATATTCTAATCAAGAAACTTTTAATGTGTAAATGATTTACTCTGTGTTTGTATACTATTCCATATTCACGATTATTTAAAAGGTATATTGTTATAGTTCTTCTTAATGTTAGCTACAAATGCAAACAAAAACACGTAGTGCCACTTAAAAACATTATACCTTGACATTCTGATTTCTTAAAAAATGACCTTTGAAAGAAAATTTTTTTATCATCATAATTACTCTCTTTAACAATGCTTTTTTCAAACATTTTCTCATATTATCAAAAAAACACACATAAGTGAGAAATTAAAGATATTCAATTTAAGTAGGCCATCTTATATGGACGTACACACACATATACAGGGTGGTTGATTATAAGTTGCCAACCCGAAATGTGAAAATAGATTGGGTTAAGATAAATATAAGGGTAATTATGCAGAATAGGTATTTTTTCGAATTTTGAGATTTTTTTGTTGCTATTGTGGTAAAAATTTTTGTTGTGACTCCAAAAGTAATAATGAATCGGGGGAGCCCGAAAAGTATGCAACCAACATATTTTATTTAACAATTTGTGGTAAACTTGTCAAAAGGCTACAGTACCTCCAATTTTGATGAAAATAGGGTAATTATGCAGAATAGGTACTTTTTCGAATTTTGAGATTTTTTTGTTGCTATTGTGGTAAAAATTTTTGTTGTGACTCCAAAAGTAATAATGAATCGGGGGAGACCGAAAAATATGTAACCTACATATTTTTTTAACAATTTGTGGAAAACTTGTCAAAAGACTACAACACCTCCAATTTCGATGAAAATAGAGTAATATATATTAGTGAATTTTACATATATTATCAAGAACACCCTCTCGAGTAACATGCAAAAAGTTTTAGTCCGTGCTTACTACGTGTTCGTTAAAAAGTTACTAACAAATGAAGTTAGTGATAAGAGTTTGCACCGAGCATGTGTACACACACACACACACACCGAAGGGGGCGTACGGGGGGGCCTTCGGCCCCCCACTCGCACCCCCCTCGAGAGTTAACGAGTGAAACTCGCTTCACGTGGAAAGTCGCAATAAGTCGCAAACTCACATGTGACTTTCCATATTTGTTACCAGCCAAACCCGATTTCAGAATAAACTAATTGCCCTTGTTATACTTTTTGGCAAAACAAATTTGATTATTTTTTTGGAAGGCGGGGGGAGGAGCTCCCCGCCATTATTTCGCCAACAATGCTTCGCCAACAATAATTAAAACATATATATTAGTCTATTTTCATCAAAATTGGAAGTGCTGTAGTCTTTTGACAAGTTTACCACAAATTGTTAAATAAAATATGTTGGTTGCATACTTTTCGGGCTCCCCCGATTCATTATTACTTTTGGAGTCACAACAAAAATTTTTACAATAGCAACAAAAAAATCTCAAAATTCGAAAAAGTACCTATTCTGCATAATTACCATAAGTTATATTAAATATTAAGTTATATTAATTATATTAAGATTATATTAATACTAAAGTAAAATTATTAAGAAATAAATATTTTTCGAGCTGTTTTGCATTTTTATCCTGATATATTTTTTAGTACAATATTAAATATATCTCGTAAACTGTTGGCAAATTTCTTTTGTGTTTTACAGTTTGAGCACTTTCCTCAATACAGTTTAGGACATACAGCTAATGGTCCGATTACAGAACTTAACTTCTGACAATTAAACCAAAACAATTTATCTTATTAGATTATCCACTTATATTTCAAGTTCCTTCAAAAGAAATATCCAGACCATTTTGATACCAAGCATACTTGTTTCAATAATCGTTTACAAAAATTTGTTCAGATGGAGTTAAAAGCGCAATAAATCACCACAATTATGAGCTACGTAACTTGCACGATAAACAATTTTATATGTAATTAGCTCCTGCAATCTACGAAATATAAGTGATAATATCCGACGTTACAATTGCAACGAAAAATTCAGAAAAAGACGTAAATATTTTTAATATATTCTTGTCTACTAGGTAAAATTATAATAAACAGGATTAATATCCGCATTATGTGCTGTTTTGAAACTTCTATCATAAAATCGATTACTATGAAAACCAATAATTAACCATATAAGCAGCGATTCACAATTGATGTTTATTTAATGTGTTCTTGACTTTTTATCGGAAAAAATATATTCAAACCAAAAATATTCGTTGTAAACGAATGTATATTATGATCATGTAAGATCTATAATATTTTCTTTTTGGGAATCATGTAATTAAAGAAAATGCTCTTTATAATCATAGTTTAAATAACTCAATATTATCCCAATGATAATTGACAAAGTCATATGCATTTGATTGTTTATTGAGCAAACTATAAATTTTGTATGTCATTTTGTAGATCATGATCATATGGAAAATTCACATAATTCCTGTTTTTTAAATCACATAATTATAAAAAAGCTTTTTTGTTATCTCTTACTCCAATCAAATCGTCCCCATCCAGTAGCAACTGCTTTGCCATCATTATCAATATCAGGCAAGTCAACCGGGAGACATGCCGGCCTGGCCCATGCGGTATAGGTAACTGGGGTTTCCAGCTTCATTATGGCTATGTCGTGATACACTGACGGCTGTTTATAATCAGGATGCGATATTATTTCGACGATTTTGATGGTTTGCGGCCTTGCATCGTCATTCGTTTGCGCTAGATTCAGGTCACCGACTCGTGCCCACTTCGGAGCTCCCCTTTAAGACAGATAAAATATATCAAGGTAGATGCATTTAGTTTAGAAGGAAAGGATGACTAACAAGATATATAATATTATATATCTACACTACTCAAAACAATTAGAGGAGCGCTTTAAAACTTGCAAAATTTGATGGTTTTTAAGAAGCCATATTTCAGCTTGGCGAGGTCGTAGAACAATGTTTCAGGGCGCATTTTAACGGGTGAACCCTTGACTTTAAAGAGGCTAAGGTTTCATTATTCGTCTCATCGAACTGTTTTTCTTGTGAGGCCTAAAATCAGGTCGTAAAAAAGTTGTGAAAATTTTATGATTTTGTAGCCATACACGAATAAAGCAGGGATGGAAATAAAAATGGCACCACACTCACTTTGAAGTAGTGAACTTTAAAACGCCGGAAGGAATATTGTTCTATCATATCTTGGAGCTGAGTTGTCGCATTTCATAGTGCATTTTGCAAGATTTTTAGCAATACCGCTGGCATTCGCGTTATCCGATGTGCACCACGGGGAGGTTGCTCGGTCGGATTTTGCACATCATGTGTATGATGTATGTGTACGTTAATATGAAGTGTGCGTGATATATGTGTGGATGTGTATGTGTCAGCAGAGATAAGGACCCTCTTCTATAAGAGGGTATCATACTCTGGAGGCCCGAAAATGAGGGTCAATTTCAGGATTTTTTTGTGACAAAGTGGTAGGCCAATCAGGCCTACCATATGACATATACGATATTTAAGTACATGTTTAGGTGCATTTACTGTATTTTTTATGTAAGGAAATATTGAGAAATATAAAAGTTATATATAATCTCGCAGAAGCCGTTCGCACGCGCGCTTGACTACGGTGTACATAGTGCCTCCTGTACGGCGTGCCTGAAAGCAAAAATGCTAAAAGAATATTAAACTAGAATGTATTCCTTACAAGTTGACGAAGGAAAATTGTAAAAAAGTTAAAAATTGTGAAAGTTATAGCACTTCGAAAAAAAGGTCTATTTTTTATCGAAAAAAAACGACGGTTTTTTATTGTTATCAATACATGGTTCACCGGGGACAAAAAACTCTACGTCAACTTGAGCATTGTGCTGTTATATTGATGTGAACAAAAAAGTAAGACAGCCGGAATAAAAGTACGTTCGGAATCGTGTACACCGTTTCCGAAAAAGTCGTTTTGAGATAAACGCGTTTAAAGTTTCGGTGACTGTTTTCTACGAGATACAGTGATAATTATTTCATCTTACCATTATTCTGCTGTTCCTGCACCATATTGCAGCCCTTCTGCATCAGTTAAAATGTCCTCTGTAGCCAATCTTTCAAGCCTACGAGCTGATCGTGCCTCTCGCGTGCTTTCCTGCGCTCGACGGTCGGCAGCTTCGACGCGCTGTTCATCAGCATACACGCACCACTGATGTGCTTTGTCGCCAATTTCTGACTTGCACTTGCTCGTCTCTTCAGCATTTTACTCTTGTTAGACTCACGCGATGTATACTGTCGAACGGACTGTGAGATACTGGTTGAAATCACCGGTGCAGGTATACAGGAATTTAAATCTAACGGCTCTAGTTCCCCTCTGCAAAGTAAGGTCGACATATGAGAAATGGACAATATAATATAGGAAACACAATACGAACAAGAGAGGGGCCTGCGGCAGGTATAATTCTCGTAAGCATCGAGTGATGATGTCTCAGACATCGTCGGTTTAGCGGCCGGCGCTACTTCGCTTCAACAGCTATAACTTCGTCAATTTTTGGAATTTCAGCTAGGGCTTAAAATACGCGGAAAGGATAGTATTTTCAAAATATGCAATAAAAAAAATTGATGTTTTGAAATTTCCAGAGTATGATACCCCCTAGCGATAACTTGCGCTACTTCATTTTCGCTAAGATGTCTCATTTTTATACATGCATACATACAATGTAGATATGTAAATTGTGTTTCTTGCGTTTAGAGTTTATTACAAACTTGCGAATTGATGTGATGCAAGTTTACTAGTGTAAAAGCTTCCTTTTACTTGTTAGATGTGTTTCCAGGTAATTGACTTTGAGTAGCACAATTTACATATATAAAAATGAGACATCTTAGCAAAAATGAAGTAGCGCAAGTAATTGCTTTAATAGAAGAGAGTCCTTATCTCTGCTGACACACTCACATACACATATACACATCACGCACACTTCATATTAACATATACATACACTATACACATGATGTGCAAAATTCGACTGAGCTTCCCTGTGGTGCACATCGGATAACGCGAATGCCAACGGTGTTGCTAAAAATCTTGCAAAATGCAAGGGTGACTATGAAATGTGACAACTCGACTCCAAAGTATGATAGAACAATGTTCCTTGCGGCGTTTTAAAGGGAAAGTTTCCTACTTCAAAGCGAGTGTGGTGCTATTTTTATTTCTATCCCTGCTTTATTATTGTATGGCTACAAAATCATGAAATTTCCACAATTTTTTCACGACCTGACTTTGGGCCTCACAAGAAAAACAATTCGATGAGACGAATAATAAAACCTTAGCCTCTTTAAAGTCGAGGCTTCACCTGTTAAAATGTGCCCTGGAACATTGTTCTACGACCTCACCAAGCTGAAATATGGCTTCTTAAAAACCATTAAATTTTGCAAGTTTTAAAGCGCTCCCCTAATTGTTTTGATTAGTATATATACTTCGACTTACCAGTACTTACCAGTACAGACTTACCAATACAGACTACCAGACTTACCAGTTGCTATCAGTACAATGGGCTACTGTCAGTATCACTCTGTCGGAAATCAGGCTACCAGCACATAGCCACAGTATCTCATTCTCTGTACTTTGGAATCCGATGGCCGTCATATGCGGAAATTCTTTTGGCTGAGCTTTTCTACTTCCGACGATCCATTTACGCGTGCTCAGAGCGCACCTCGATATATTCACAGGACGTTGGCCCGGTAAAAGTGTAGGTGGTAATGCCATGCCGAAGACAGCTTCCGCACTCTCCGCACATTCTATATAATGAAATTACATTGAAATTAATATACATATAGTAATCACTTACAAAAGTTATATCACTATTTTTATTTAAAAAATGAAGCGTTTTCTACGATACATAGAGCCGCGCTAATACTTATAAAACAGAGGAAATATGTTCTAATAAATATGGATAAAAAAATTAATATTGTCGATAAAATTAGTATTATTATATATTATAATTGTATTAATATTATTGTTATAAACAATTTATTTTAATTAAAACAAGTCTCTCGCTTTTGGTGCTTTTGTGCTTTCACAGTACGATAAGAATGATATTGTATTAGTCTAATAAAAAAATGGCAGAAATGCATTTTATGGCCGTGCATCAGAAGCGAGTGAGTGACTTGCTTTAATTAAAATAAATAATTATTCACAACTCCGACAATATTAATTTTAAGACCTATTTCAGAATCTTTTTCTTCCATTTTATGAATATTATCTGTCCTTAAAATTTTCTTCTTCTTCCTCTTTTCCCTTAAAATTCTTTTTTTAAACACTCTATGTAATGATCACATATATTATACACATGGAAAAAGAATAATGTTAAATAAAAAAAATATAATTTTATTCAAAAAGAAAAACTACAACATTAGGTATTGCCAGAAGCGTACGCATTTACTTCGATTATATTTATATAACGGTATTTTTTCTTTTCGTTATTGATAATATATGTATAATATATATATATATGATAATATATAATTTTACATGGCCATATATGGATAAAATTCATATATGATCCTTTATCCTCAAAATGTCTAGTCCAATGCGTACGTTCACTTGTACGCGAAAAGAATTCATCACACTAAATAAAAAACTTCTTTGTAATTTTCTTTTTAAATTAAATTAAAAAGCTAAATTAAAGCTAAATAAGTTTTGTTACTATTATTTTCTGTCTCAACATGTAAATACGAATGGAAAATATAAAAATTTGTAAAAATATAAATTATAATGCAAAATTTGTTAACTGCTATAAATTTTTTTATTTCGATGAATGCTTTTATCTAATTCCTAATTTTATTTAAAAATTGAAACTTATTTCTTCTAAATTTCGTATTGCTGAATTTAAGTGTTATCGATTATATGTATGCATTATGTTTCAAAAAGTTGGAATACTTTCTTCACTGCATTCGGAACATGTAAAATGTCTGGTGAGAGAAAGAACCTAATCGTAAGAATTTTTCATAAACAAATTATCTTGCTACATCCCTCGGGCCATCGGCTATATTCAAAACTGCACCTCAAAGTAGATGTTCAAATCGTTTTAAAAACGAGGACGTACATGATTCTTTCTTAATTATATTCATTAGTTAATTGAAGCATTGATTACTTCCATTTTCAATACACACGTTCCTCTTATTATCCATCTATTATTGAGAAATAAATTAGAACTACTTACTTGCTCGCGCTAATGATCCTCTGCTGTTGTCGAATATCAAAGTTCGCAGCGTGCTTATTCTTTCGGTAGTGCTCGTGCTCAAGATTCCTTCGATAAATATACATAATAATAATTATATAGGAAAGCAGATATATCGCATTGAACTAAAAATAGATATTATTATCATCTAATCATGAGATACGGAATTACTACTTTTTGTGACTATAATTTAAAAATAATAATTATTAAACATATCTTTTGCACGTGGAAATATAATTATTTAACTAGATGTTTTTTATGACAGAATATTAATTTTGGCTAATTTATTAAAAAGCAGGTCTTTAATATGCTAAATCCTTTTAGCTAAATTTTAATCTGAAACAGGAAAAAAATCATGATCATTTCGTTCACTGAAAAAAAATCATATACTTCTGTTGAGGAAGGAGGAAAAAAGAAGAAAAAAGAGAAAGGGAGGGGGAGAGAGCGAGAACAGGGAGAAATATATATACAAAGTGTACGAAAAGTATCGAAATCCCTTAATATCTTGGAAAATACGCATTTTAGAAACAAAATATTTCATACGAAAAGGTAGTAGGATTTTATAAGGCGTATTATATGGCAATATTATTATTACTAAAAGAGCGTTGTCAAGGTCACGTAAAAATCATCTTAACCCAGAGCTAGGCAAAATGTGCACGCGACGGCCGATTTTCGACTATCTCCGCCCACCGCTATCCTCTTTACCACGCCGCTTCGCGCGCTGCTTACAAGCCGCTCGAGTTTCAGGAGCGTTTCCAATAGTTTTCCACGTCACCCATGAAGTACTATTGTTGACGCGTTTTTTTTTAAGTGGTATCCCCAGTAAGCCTAATCCACTGATGACTGTAACAACCCGTAACTAATTGAACAGAAGCGAAATAAAATATGTTAAATGAAGAATATTCAAATCGATTTTCGGCGTCTTTTATTGGTAAAAGTGGAAACGTCAATTTGGATATTGCATGTAGCGAACCGCATAAGACGTGATAAGGAATCGTCGCTTAAAGAAGAACACTTCTCATTTTTTATAAACTTCATTTTTGAAAAATGAAGAGGCCTATTGGGGATACCACTTAAAAAGAAAACGCGTCAACAATAGTACCTCATGGGTGACGTGAAAACTATTGGAAACACGCTCCTGAGGCTCGAGCAGCTTGTAGGCAGCGCGCGGAGCGACGAGGTAAAGGGAATAGCGGTGGGCAGAGATAGTCGAAAATCGGCCGTCGCGTGCACATTTTGCCAAACTCTGTCTTAACCCATTAACGCCGAAAAGTCCAAAATTTCTTATATATGACAATTTTGCGGGTTGGATTTTCAGAATACAACTATTTCGTCCTTTGGTACATTTGGTCTTCAGTTACCTATACTATTTCGATGTGAAAAAAATCGTTAAAAAAAATGTATTTTCCGTGTTTTTTTTGTTTAAACCGCCATATTTATTTTTCTAGTAGAGATAGCTCAATTTTGACGCCGCCATTCGAAAGAGTACACCCAAAAACACTAGAAAATAAAGTTACATATAAATCGCTCACGTTTTACTTAGTAAGCAAGCATTTTCAAGCACAAAACTTGAAAATGAACAAACAAAAGGTTTTGGACTTTTCGGCGTTAATAGGTTAAATTTCTTAAATAGAATCCCTTATTTTTCATTACATATTTTTGTAGCTTATCTCGAAGGCTTTCTAAAATACTATAATTAAATGTTTTTTCGTTAAGTATTTTTCGAGTTACAGAACTTAAAAATTGCAATACCGCTAGTATTATGTTTTGGAAAGCCCTCGAGATAAGCTACAAAAATATGTATTGTAATAAAAAAATAGGTTCTATTTAAGAAATTTCAGATGACGTTCACGTGACCTTGACAATACTATTCAAGGTCATAATAATATTGCTATGTAATGCGCCTTACCCTACTATAAAACCCTACTAATTTTGTATGAAACATTGTTTTCTAAAATGCGTATTTTCCGAGATATTAAGGGAGATTTCGATACTTTTCGTATACCCTATATATATATAATTACTTACCTTCAACATCCTTCCCATGTATCGGTGACAGAATTAACGTCAGTAGTGTCAGTGAGATGCTCGCTGTGATAGTTGACATTCTTGATAACAGGCTTGGTCACAGGTTTCTGGTTCCAAGGACTCTCCGCGGTAGAAGACATACCTTGTCTGACTTGTCCGCTCACACTCATATCCATTTGCTATCAATTTTTCTGCTCCCCACCATGTCGCAAACAGTTCCACGATAGAAGTGGTAGCGGATTGTGAGATCATCTCACATAAGCCATTTTTTCACTTCTCGTTCCAAGCCATATAATTAGCTCGCGTGTTTTCCAAGAAAATAACCATTTTCACAGTCATTCACAATAGGACTGAATAGCGCCTGGTCGATAAATTATCAATGTAAGATTCAACGCAAGAAGTAAATTATTTCGTAGTAAGGAAGGAAACTCGTACATATACGATGAATTCAATTTATACAGGGTGCTAAATTTCAAACGTAACAGGTAAAAAATCTCGAAAACCTTGAAAGATATTAAAAAAAGCTGAAACACGTGTTCCATGATTTTGAAGGGGAAAGGCATTATCAGTTTTTTATTTGGAGAACATTTTCAAGGTCAGTTGAAGGTCAACTTAATTTTTTTAAATAGAAATTTTTTATTATATCTTCTTTTTCAACCAATTAAGTTTAACAACTTTTGTCTGCAACATTTCTTTATTTGCTTAATATATATTGAGATATTTAAGGAAAACTTGATAACTTTTTCAACATTTAACTTACGATATTTCGCTAACTATTCGTTGAAAGAAAAAATAGTATTAGACTTTTTTACTTTATTTACTATCAGAAATACATTGCTATAATAGTGCCCTCACTTTTGTTAATTTAATAATTTTGAAATTTCCAAAAGTCGATAAGTTAACAAAAGTTAGAGCACTATTATAGCATATATTCTTGATATAAATAAAGTAAAAAGTCTAATAATATTTTTTCTTTCGATGAATAGTTAGCGAGATATCGTAAGTTAAATGTTGAAAAAGATAGTACCAAGTTTTCCTTAAGTATTTCAAAACATATTAGGCAAATAAAAAAATGTTTCAGACAAAAGCTGTTAAAATTAATTAGCAGAAAAAGAAGATATAATAAAAAATTTCTATTTAAAAAAGTTAAGTTGAGCTTCAACTGACCTTGAAAATGTCCTCCAAATAAAAAACTGATAATGCTATTCTCTTTCCCCTTCGAAATCATGGAACACGTGTTTTAGCTTTTTTTAATATCTTTCATAGTTTTCGAGATTTTTTATCTGTTACGTTTGAAATTTAGTACCCTGTATAATAGGAAACTTATAACTTTGCATAATAGAAAAAGCTGTTATTTTTCGTAACAATATTTTGCATAAATTTTATGCTTCCATTGAACTTCAGTTGTCGCAAGTAGAAATTTTTTTACATATATCGACTCAAGTTTCTAGTTAAACGCAAATACAATGGATTTCAATTTCTATTATAGTTCACATGTCTTATGTATATTGTTGAATACATATAATGCTATATTCATATAGGAATTTAATTTTTTACATTAGATATAATATGCAATTATCTTGTATTAATCCCATATAAATCTCGCATTAACGATGTGATATATTTCTATATTATAATTTATTTGCAGGATTTTGTACATAACGTTAAAATATTACGCGTACGATTTAAAAAATAACGAAAAAGAGTTTAATTTATTCTTTATTAATAGTACTCACCATATTAGTATTAATATTACAGGTGTGTTTATATTGAACGTCCTGTATACTGATGTCCTCATTTATTCTGAATTTATTTTAAATAGAAATATGTTTATAAAATCTTGTATCATGAAAACCTTGATATGATATGCGATACAAGAATAAAGGAACAGAATAATTTTCTTTGAAATGAATAAATTTAGTCATGAGTATACAAGTACTATAAATTTTAGAATTTATTATGTATAATTGTATTATTGTTACTCCCGTAATATAATTTAATAACTGTATAATTGTATAACTGTTACTTTCATAATATAAATATCATTTAATTAGTTTTTTTTATGGATCATATGTCGAAAATTTTTGCATTGATAAACATCACACTAATTGTAGTCGTTATAACTATTAATTAAATTATATTTGTAGGCTACATTCTTTTAATTTTCTTTTTAATTTTAATCCACATATACGGGAAAATTTTCCCGTATATTTATCATCTGACACCTTGTTTATATGTATAAAATAATATAATAAATAAATAATTAATAAAAGATTGTATTCTCACTTTATTACTTTCATCGATTCTCTCTCTCTCTCTTTCTTCCTCCCTCCCTCCCTCCCACCCTCTCTCTCTTCTTTCCTCCTTCCTCCCTCCCTTCCTCCCTCCCTTCCTCCCTCCCTTCCTCCCTCCCTTCCTCCCTCCCTTCCTCCCGCCCTTCCTCCCTCCCTTCCTCCCTCCCTTCCTCCCTCCCTTCCTCCCTCCCTTCTCCCTTCCTTCCTCCCTCCCTCCCTTCCTCCCTCCCTCCCTCCCTCCCTCCCTCCCTCCCTCCCTTCCTCCCTCCCTCCCTTCCTCTCTCTCTCTCACTCTCTCTCTCTCTCTCGCTCGCTTGTAGATTTTCTTCTCCTGCTGTCTGCTCCTTCAGCGCGCTTGTAATGCCTCTAGTATCAAAAAAGCGAGATGCACGTTTTTTCTCTCCTGTGCCTCTAGCGATTCTTACTTTCTCTTCCTGAATCGAAATTTTCCGTGATTCGTACTTTATCTTAAAATATCTTCGTTTAGACAACGTACACAAAAAACACGAAAATGCCTTCCCCCCATTTTTTAGCCGAAATACCGAATTAATTAGGACTAAAAAATCTCAATGGTTTTGAAGCCATTGCTGAGATTTGAATACCTCATCTCGATTCAACTCGCAGTTTCGCGTAATAGAGGCACGGTCTGTCTCGTGTCATTCGGGCATACTTCGTTGCGCTGAATTTAGCACGAGGTACTACTGATCGAGTGCTTGATCGAGTTCTTTCAATTTTCTCAAAAATTTCCTTTCTTTTCCCATCTCTCTTCCTGTATCGTTAGACGAGTTTCATAGAGCAAACAAAATGTTATTGGTTGATTTTCGAACGCTGTGTATTATACCGATAGCATTTGCACGATTCAACTGTCGATTATGTACTTGATTATGTCTTGCGAGGTCATAAAAAGTGGAACATATGAATTTAGGGAGCCTTCAAGAAAATATGTCACGATTGTTGACGATTGGCGGAAATAGTTGTTCAAATCGATCCAAACGCATACTAAAAATCACTCTAAATTTCTTAGTGTAAAATCTCATTCAAGATGAAGGAAAATTCATGCGAAGCGATATCGAAAATATTACCAGTATCGTAATTATAATAGTGAACGTTTCATTCAAGTTTAAATTAGATTATAGCTCCATATATGTTTAACGTGTGTCATCATCTTCTAGCCGTTAATTGCAGCCTATGAACGAAAACTTGACTAATAAGGATATATTGTTACAAATTTAAAGAATACAACTTCTGAATTTCGATTCTTCGATCGCGACGATATTCTCCGCCTTTTCGCGTTTGTTTCTTATGTACCGCATACAGAAGTTGATGTAATCGTCTTAACACGTATCTTGTAAAGTGCAATCAATGTATTTTTCATTGAAGCACTTATTAACGAGTTCACTTATAAGTATAATAATGCAATAAAAATTTCACTGAAATTTGATTAATAGGAACAACTGTTCCCATTATTGAAATTGTTTGTGAACACAAACAGTATCATTGCACACAATGGAAATCGTTAATTTCATCATCGCATGTTTAGAAAATCGGATTTAGTATAATAAACTTATGTACTACAGATTGCAATGAAATTTTACTTCTACTAACCAAATTAATGAGATGTAAGAGTAATATATAAGGAATAAAAAGGCAATATTTTTATCAAAAGTTATAATGCTCAGTGATTATTGATGAAATATTCACTTTTCTGATTAAATCAGCAACATTATTATTGATTCATTTTAAGAAAGTAGCGATCACGATTTTCAGCCATATGTACAAGACGTACAATATGTACGATTGAAAACCACAGTGGCGCTAATAATATAAGTAAGTATTAAGGCTATTATGCCGGATACGTACTTAGGAACGTTTCGTTAATCCAATAGTTGCTGAAGTCTACGAATTACTATGCGGCAATGGCACCACATAGATGCGTAAAGGGCTTCGTCACTGATCCAGTCAGAAACGAATAAATAATTTCGTGATCTTATCTAGTTATTCTCCTTTTCTTTTCTTGAATTAATGTGAAAACAAGGATGTTTTTTTTTTCTTTCACTTGAAAATCCATGCGAATGAACGACTTTCACACGTACATCGGGAGATGACGCGGGCGACAATTGAAGATGCGATTGCTCACGTAATATTTTGCCATTTATTGCTATCATTATTATAATTATGAGCAATTATTAATTATAACTATTAATATTAATTATTATAATTGATTACGATTATTACGAATACGATTATTAGTTGCTACCGTTGCGGCTATATACCTTTATAAATAAGAATCGAGACACCGACGGCTATAGACAAAAGAAATTGAATAAATTGAAATTCTATTAACCTAAAGGTATGTTATCATCTTTTATATTGACTCATTTCATCCTTGAACGACAATCAGGAAATCAAGGAATAGAAGAATGCAGAAGGTAAATTTTTTTGTTTGTTTGTGTGAGTGCATGAATTTTATTTATTATTTTCTTGTTATTCAACCGCCAAGGTGATCATTAATAATCAGTGCTATAATATCTCCGTTATACTAATTTACGTATAAAACGTAATCAATCGGGTTCTTGGAAATGACGAATTGTATTATCTTTTATTAACACTGTTTATTATTTGTAAATTTGTAATCTACTCTTAATTGCATAAGAAGTTCAATTCAATTAGACAAGTCGACGCCTATGTAAAATTGTATAATATACTGTAAGTGCCCTTTGTAACGGTTAAGTCCTGCGTCTTCTATTCTAGTTTAGCTTGGTCAATACAAACTTAAATTAACAGAATTCATTAAGTGACAGTATAAATATTAATTTATAAATTATAAATATGAAAGTACACTTTTATTATCTTAGATGATTTTATTATTATAAGTTGGAAAGAAAAAAAATTAAAAATTTCAGTGAGAAACTTATCTCCTATTTAGTTAATAAAAAATATTAAAGTTCATAAAATAATAAGTAATTATTTTTGCAACACAGCATTTTTATTGAATTTCTGCGAATTATACTGAATTGTATTATATAAATGCAACACAACTAAAAAATTTTCGCAGATTTTATAAAATAATTAGTTGGAAGTGTATGTAATAGGTAAGATTTCTGAATTTTCAAAATTATCCCAGATGCTAGAGAAGGACAATAAAGTTTCTTTGTAATAATTGCGAAGAGGAATAATTTTCTGATACATTGTTAAACATTGTCAGATAAATTGATCATAGATTACAATCAATTTAAGGAACATTGTTTAGAAATTATAAACTTTAGATTTTTGTAACTTTTGAACTGTTATTCTGCAAATCGTGTTGAGTTATATGCTGCATAACATAACATAATAAATAAACGGTCAAAGGTGTTCCGAAAATCGTAGAGATTGGAAAACAATTGATCGCAACGAATAGGGTTGAACAAATCAAATTAATTCAAATTTTGATAACTTGTACAGAATTGTGCTACACAAGTGCAATAATACTTTCTAATGACAAAATATCGTCAAATTGTTAAATTCTGTAATAACAATTTAAATAAAAGAAGTTTTTAGAAGTTACAAACTTTACGTTCCTGTAACTTTTGAACTATGGTAATCGGAATTTATGAGTTATGGAAAAATTAAAATAGATAAATACATAGACATATAAGACAGTTTTAAGATAGGCAGGAATTATTAAATATAAATAAAAATAATCTCCTCATCAATTTTTTTCTTACATTAAAACATTGATTTTAAAATTCCTTGATCACATTCTTATTGCATTTGATCAGATCAACTTACACAACTCATATCATATGCATTTTTTCATCAAATTTTTATTTAATATCTTAATATTTATCGTAGTTGTTTGTAACATATATATGATAAAGGACATTTTTACTTCATAATTTCTATATACAAGCAGATATACGTATTATGTCAGACACTTTGTATAATTGGGATTAAAATAAGAGGAGAATAAGATTAAAATTATGAAAAGAAAATTTTCATAAAGACAAAAATATTATTATAAATTATACTTAATAATAAAATATATTTAAAAATTAATTTTTAAGTGTCCTGATTATTTTTGAAGTACTCCGGCCATGCCGCTCTTTCTATCCAGGGGATGTAGTGATAGACTCGAGTGTACACACCAGGTAAGATGCTTCCGCACAGTTGTCCTATACTCGTAATACCAATTATGTTATACATACAGTAATGAACATTGTTAAAAACGGTCAGAGGTCCTCCGCTGTCACCCTAACAAATAGATAACATGTTATATAAAAAAATTATCTTCCAGTGCAATATAAAATTAGAACTTTTTATTTTTGCGCGGATAATAGAAACTATTAATCTTTTGGATATTCTGATCTTTCGATGCTTTTCTGTTTCAACGTCATCTAATATTAACGGTATAATTGATTATTTTGTTTAGAACTAGATTTAGATTCAGAAATTATTAGGAGTACAAATAAGTTTCCGCCATTTGACCAAAGATGGCCCCACCAGAAGGTTATGTTGAAATTGTCAGATGTAAAACGTAATATCGTAAGTTTGGACATCTGGTAACAACATAACCTTGAAGTATTAGTGACTCCGTATCAGCATCACATAATTTTTTTCGTGCGAAAATGTCAAGTTTTGTGCCGAATAAGCGTCATTTGCGGGAACTTTTGATTTCTTTAATTTGAAGAAATCTGCAGCTGAGGCGCATCGATTGCTTGTAGAAGCATATGGTGAGACTGCTTTAAGTGAGAGAAGTTGTCGTGAGTGGTTTCAAAAGTTTAAAAACGGTGAGTTTGACGTGGAAGACAAAGACGTAGTGGAAGTCCGAAAGTATACGAAGACACGGAATTGGAAGCATTATTGGAGGAAAATTCGTACCAAACGCAAGAAGAACTTGCACTTACATTAGAAGTGACTCAACAAGCAATTTCACATCGTTTAAAATCGTTGGGAATGATTCAAAAACAAGGAAATTGGATTCCATATGAATTGAAGCCGAGAGACGTTGAACGCCGATTTTGCACGTGTGAAATGGCCTGGCTGCTTGCCAGGCATAAAAGAAAGGATTTTTTGCATCGTATAGTCACTAGTGATGAAAAATGGATCCACTACGATAACCCAAAGAAGAAAAAATCATGGGGACCATCTGGCCATGCTTCAACATCGACAGCCAAACTGAATATTCATGGAAAAATACTCATGCTGTATATTTGGTGGGATCAGCTTGGTGTCGTGTATTATGAGTTGTTCAAACCGAGCGAAACCATCACTGGAGCTCTCTACCGAACACAATTAATGAGATTGAGCCGAGCACTCAAGGAAAAACGCGCCCATTACTACTCCAGACACGACAAAATTATTCTCCTATATGACAACGCTCGGCCACATGTTGCAAAACCGGTCAAAACCTATTTGGAAACACTTAATTGGGAAGTCCTATCCCACCCGCCGTATTCATCAGACATTGCCCCTTCCGATTATCACTTGTTCCGGTCGATGGCACATGGCCTGTCTAAGCAGCGCTATATATCATATAAAGATACTAAAAATTGGGTCGATTCGTGGATAGCCTCAAAAGATGAAGAGTTCTTCCGACGTGATATCCGAATGCTGCTAGAAAGATGGAAAAAAGTAGTGGCTAGTGATGGACAATACTTTGAATAAAACGTAATGTACTGTTCTTTCACAATAAATTCCTAATTTTTGATAGAAAACGGCGGAAACTTATTTGTACTCCTAATACATTAAAAATATTGTTGAAATTAACCATCGGTTGTGGAGAAACAAATTTAAAAAGAAAGAATAATTTACATATTATTAGATGAATATTCTCGACTCGAAGTAGAAATCAATATATTACCTGACAAATATCCTTTCTTATTTCTCCCGCACATATTTGCCATTTGTCAATAATGCCTCGTGCGAACTGAGCACTGTCGCTTTCGAAAAAGCTCTCATTGCAAGTCTGTTGCGGAACCAAACTGAGCGTCGTTTTCAGCAAATTATCGGGGCTTCCTTCCTCGGCTGTAGCACAAAGTAGTGCAAAATTATAAAGTTATTCAAAGATTCACAACAAAGATTCCTGTTATAATATTTAGTAATCCATTTCTTTTTCTAATGTTATACATTCTAATGAAGAAACTTTTAATGTGTAAATGATTAACTATGTGTTTGTCTATTTTTCTATATTTAAGATTATATAAAAGGTATATTGTTATAGTTCTCCTTAATGTTAGTTACAAATGCAAACAAAAACACGTAGTGCCACTTAAAAACATTATACCTTGACTTTCTCTTAAAAAATGACTTTCGAAAGAAAACTTTTTTGTCATCATAATTACTCTTTTTAACAATGCTTTTTTCAAATTATATTTTCAATTATGTTTTCTTATATTATCAAAAACACACACATACAAGTGAGAAATTTAAGATATTCAATTTAAGTGGTTCATCTTATATGCACGTACACTCAGAGGCAGGTATGGTGTCCCTCGGCGATGTCGTATACGCCTGTAAAACAATCGAAAGCGATGACAGGCATATACGCATATGCATATGGGCATACTATACAGCGTGAGAGAAGCGAAGAAGGAGAAGTGGTGGGAGACGTTCCGATGTTGCATTCTTATCGCACGTCGCACGATCGAGAGAGAAACTCACTCTCTCTACGCTTGAATGCAGGCAATATGAGTGAGACAGCTATAGAGACACCGCGCTGTCTCTATAGGTGTCTCGCTCGCTCTAATAACCATGTATCACGCTTTCCTCTTTTCTCCTTAGCAGAAATGCCGATTAAGAAGGCAATCCTGTCTGTAGGCCAGAAAAATAAGCTATTTTCGCGAATTTTTTTTTCGGAAACTAAGCAGACGATTAATTTCAAACTTGATAAAAATAATAATATATATTTTATTGATGAGAATGAATTTTTATGGCGTTATAAAAGAGAAAAGCGCGATACATGGCTATTACAGCGAGTGAGACACCTATAGAGATAGCGCGGTGCATATAAAAAATTAATATTTTTTTATTTCGCTAGTTCATACGATAGATAGACATGTTTCGAATATGTAATTAGATGCTGAAATCGATCGGTCGACTTTTTTATATAAAAAAAAGTTTTTTCTCTGATTTCAGAAGATGCTATATAGCGTCTCGTTATTATTATTGTAATTTTTATTATTATTAAATGTCTCCTAATTTTTTTTACATTTTCAAGAGCGGAACCTATATTTTAAGTAGCATTTTAAGGAAGATGTTGCATTTATTCTCCCTCCTTCTCGTAGTCTTTTTAAAAGTAAAGATATGTTGCGTCTAAAAAAAAATTGCACAATTTGACATATCTTACGGCATAAAATAAGTATTTTCGTAAATTTCATGAAATATCGTTTTCTTGCAAATAAAATATTCTTAACGTAAAATCATCGATATTTATGATGATTTTTCAAATATAATTTTTAAATGCCTTAAAATATTAAAAAAGTAGTTCGTTTTCTATTTCCTTAATTCAAACGAGTTAGCGGCAACTTCGTAGATTAATTATTTTACTTGCGTTTTTGTCCCAGTCTACCGTATTTCGAGATTTTATAGGAACCATGAAACTGCGCGCGCCTAAACACGTCACGTTATTTTCTGTATATTTGCTACATTATTATTCATATAACGCTATAAAAATTAATTCTTATCAATAAAATATATATTATTATTTCTATCAAGTTTGAAATCAATCATCTGCTTAGTTTCCGAAAAAGAATTCGCGAAAATAGCTTATTTTTCTGACCTACAGACAGGATTGCCTCCTTAATCGGCATTTCTGCTAAGGAGAAAAGAGGAAAGCGTGATACATGGTTATTAGAGCGAGCGAGACACCTATAGAGACAGCGCGGTGTCTCTATAGCTGTCTCACTCATATTACCTGCATTCAAACGTAGAGAGAGTGAGACAGCTATTGGAGACACCATTAACCGTACCACGTCTGGTAATGCTTTCTCTCTCGATCGTGCGACGTGCGATAAGAATGCAACATCGGAACGTCTCCCACCACTTCTCCCTCTTCGCTTCTCTCTCGCGCTGTACAGTATGCCCATATGCATATGCGTATATTCCTGTCATGGCTTTCGATTGTTTTACAGGCGTATACGACATCGCCGAGGAACACCATACCTGCCTCTGAGTGTACACACATATACCATACATATACAGGGTGGGGAGTTATAAGTTTACAACTCGAAATGTGAAGGTAGATTGGGTTAAGATAAACATAAAAGTCTCATATCGTTTTGCGAGATTCGCAATAATTATCGAGTTATTAATGACAGAAGTCTGAGGAATGGGAGCGCGCTGACATAGATGATTAGAGAAGCGTTGCAGCTACTTAGGCCACAGCGCGGCCCACTCGACCCAGCAACTGTTGGCGGCGTGCGGCGAGACGTAGGTCCGGCGAGATAAAACGAATAGCGGCGCATTGTCTTTCCCCTCGCCGCGCATCGGCAACAGTTGCTGGATCGACTGGGCCGTGCTGCGGCCTAAGCTGCAACGCTTCTCCAATCATCTATGCCGGCGCGCTCCCACTCCTTAGATTTCTGTCATTAATAACTTGATAATTATTGCGAATCTCGCAAAACGGTATGGGACTTTTATGTTTATCTTAACCCAATCTACCTTCACACTTCGAGTTGTAAACTTATAACTTTCCACCCTGTATATTCATATGAATATACTTTATATAATAAATAAATAAATAAATAAATAAATACATGTATTTTTTTAAATTCCTGTAATATATGCCACCTGTAAAAATACTAAAGTAAAATTATAAAAAAATTAATATTTTTCGAGCTGTTTTGCATTTCTTTTTCTGGTATACTTTTCAATACAAGATATTAAGTATTTCATAAACTGTTGGCAAATTTCTGATGTACTTTGTATTTTACAGTTTGAGCACTTTTCTCAATACAGTTTAGAATATACTGCCCAACTTAACTTTTGACAATTAAATCAAAACAATTCATCTTGTTAAATTATCGGCTTATATTTCAAGCTGCATCAAAATAAATATCCAGACTGTTTTGATACCAAGCATACACTCGTTTCAATAATCATTTACACACATTTTTTCCGATGAAGTTAAAAGCGCAATAAATAGCCACAATTATGAGCTACTAAATAACTTACACAATAATTCGTTATTAGTTGTAAATGCAAAACTGTAATGTAATTAGTGACAATATATGAGATACAAGTGGTAATATCTGATATTACAACTGTAACTGTAAAAATTTAACCACGTAAGCAGTGGTTCGCAATTAATGTTTATTTAATGTACTCTTAACTTTTTATCGGAAAGAATATGTTCAAACTGTGTTGTAAGTGTTTATAAAGGGTGTCCCAAAATTCATGCAAGAAGTAATTTTGATAAAAAACATAGGTTTATAATTAAAAACTGAAAATTTTTTATTGATTCATAAAGTATACAGTATAGGGTTATGTATGGAATAGCATATCGGGTAAACGGCCACAGCGCAAAGAGTTCGTTGAATAGATTATGGAACAACAAGTGGATGCTGATTTTTCGAACAAAATCATCTTCAGCGATGAAGCTCATTTTCATCTTGATGGCTTGGTTAATCGACAAAATTGTCGCATTTGGGGTTAAGAAAATCCACGAGTGATTTTTGAGAAACAAATGCATCGACAACGTGTCACTATTTGGTGCGGATTTTGGGCTGGAGGCATCATCGGACTATTCTTCTTCGAAAATGCGGCTGGTCAGGCAATAACAGTTAATGGTGCTCGCTATCGCGACATGATAAACTAATTTTTTGTGCCTAAATTGCAAGATATGGAGGATGGTGGATGACATGTGGTTTCAACAAGCCACGTGCCACATGCCATACAGCCCGAGAAACAATTCAATTACTGCATGAGTCATTTCCTGGTCGTGTAATTTCCCGTTTTGGTGATCAGATTTGGCCACCCAGATCATGCGATTTAACGCCGTTGGACTTTTTTCTTTGGGGTTTTTTGAAGTCTAAGGTTTATGCCAACAAGCTTACGACCACCCACGCTTTAAAGGAGGAAATTAAGCACTGTATCAACAAAATTCAACCACATTTATGCAAAACGGTCATGAAAAATTTCAACAAAGGAGTGCATATGTGCCAGTAAAGCCGTGGAGGCCATTTACCCGATATGCTATTCCATACATAAGCTTATACTGTATACTTTATGAATCAATAAAAAATTTACAATTTTTAATTATAAAACTGTGTTTTCTATCAAAATTACTTCTTGCGCGAATTTTGGGACATCCTTTATATTACGATAATATAAAATCTATAATATTTTCTTTTTCCAAAGCTCATGTAATTATAAGAAAGTGCGCTCTTTATAGTTTAATTAACTCGATGCTATTTCAATGATAACTGAAAGTCGTATTTAATTTGCATTAAAACGCATTTAATTGTTAATTGAGCAAAGTATAAAGAATAATGGGTAAAAAGTACCGATTTTGGCCCATCATGGGAAACGAACAAAACATCATTTATGTAGGATTTTGACTTGCTGAACACGATGCTATCGTTAGTTTTTCTTTAAACCCCGGGGAACATGTTTGAATCCGAGAATTTATTATCCAATAATCGAATGACCCAAGAAGATTTTGCGTAAATTTTGAAGCTATTGTACACTCGTATATTAGCTAAATTAGCTGAAAACAGTTTAGATATTCGATTTAGAAATATTTTTGATCTAACAGTTAGAGGGGTTCTCCTTTTATACAAAATTTGCTAACAAATAATATATACCGTGTCACAGATTATTCGTATCATCTGATTTTTTTGTAAACACATTTTAGGGAAAAATGTTTCAGACAAAAGTTGTATGGTTTCAAAAGGGACATATAATAACTATATCATTTTGTTTACAGATGGCGCCACTTCCGAGATATTTACTGATCATTACGTTTTTTTAAATGGAAACCTTAATTTTTTATTATATCATCTTTTTCTACTAATTACTTTTAACAACTTTTCTCTGAAATATTTTTTCATTTGCCTTTTTTTAAGATATTTAAGGAAAAGTCGGTAACTTTTTCAATATTTAATGATATATTAAATGGTAAATGATTTCGAATTTGAACATGTTCCCCGAGGTTTAGAGGAAAATTAACGACGGCAGCGTGTTTAGCAGATTAATCCTATTATAATCCTATAGAAATGACATGTTTCGTTTCTTTTCCACAATGGGCTAAAATCAGTATTTTTTACCTATTGTCCTTTGGTATGTGGGTCATGATCATATAAGAAATTTACACAATTTCTGTTTTCTAGATCACATAATTATAAAAAAGTTTTATGTTATCTCTTACCCCAATCAACTAGCCCCCATCCAGTAGCAACTGCATGGCCATCAGTACCAATATCAGGCATGTCAACCGGGAGACATGCCGGCCTGGCCCATGCGTTATAGATAACTGGGGTTTCCAACTTCATTATGGCTATGTCGTGATACTCCGACGGCCTTTTATAATCAGGATGCGATATTCTTTCAACGATTCTGATGGTTTGCGGCCTTGCATCGTCATTCGTTTGCGCTAGATTCAGGTCACCGACTCGTGCCCACTTCGCGTCTCCCCTTTAAGATGGATGAAATGTATCAAGGTAAGTGCATTGAAGTTTAGAAGGAGGAAAAGATGACAACATATGATAACTAACATATATGTAATACATATATATTAGATGTACAAATGAATAATCTAATTTTTTCAGCTACATTCAAGGTTTATTTTAAAAGAAAGTAAATTAAATTGTTCAATCAAAGTATTCGCTGTTGCTTTCTATAAACCATCTTTTTTAAGCCATCTTTCAGGCAGCTGATGAATTCCATCTCGGAAAAATGTTATGTCCTTGGACACGATAAAGTCGTCAAGCCATTTTCGGATCTCATCCACTGATTGGAAGTGCATAACGGACAAGGCGTATTGCATCGACCGGAACAAATGATAATCGGATGGAGCAATGTCTGGTGAATACGCCAGCCATGCTGCAAGACGTCCCAGCCAAGACTCATTATGATGTCTTTTGTATTGGAAGCAATGTGTGGCCTGGCGTTGTCATGCAACAATTTCACTGGACGTTCTCCTTTGTCAGTATACGGGCGTTTTCGTTCCAATTCTTGACTCAAGCAGATTAATTGACGTTGGTAGCAGTCCGCAGTAACTGTTTCACCCGGTTCCAACAACTCATAATAAAGCACGCTCTTGATATCCCACCAAATGCAGAGAAGAACCTTCTTTCCGAAGCGATTGGGTTTTGCGACCGATTTTGATGATTCGCCGGGATTTACTCATGTTTTCTGCGTTTCGGATTGTCATAGAGTATCTATTTCTCATCGCCTGTAACGATTTTCCACAAGAAAGACTTTCGACGTTGCTTATTGAGAAGAGAAAGACACGCTGCCACTCGTTGATTTTTGTTGGTTTCGGTGAGTTTATGCGGAGCCCATTTTCCTTTCTTTCTGGATCTTTCCCATCTCATGTAGGCGTTTGGAAATCGTTTGCTGCGTTACTGCCAACTGTTCTGCAAGCTCTTTTTGTGTTTGTGCCCAATTCTCAGCGAGCAGTTGTCCCAAATCATCATTATCGCACTTCAGAGGGCCTCCAGGGCGTTGTTTGTCGATTAGAATGAAATTACCGCTTTTAAACCGCTTAAACCAAAATGCGCACACATCGTACGATACAACACCTTCGCCGAGAAAGGAACAAATCGATTCGCACGCTCTTGCAGCATTTTTTCCTTGTTGGAATTCGTAAAGAATGCAGTGTCGGATATGCACCTTATCTGTTGCCATTTTCGACTGTATTGAACTGAATACTTTTGAAGGTTATGTTGGACCTTTCGCCAAACTATATGTCCTTTTTAACAGCTATATGTCAACATTGCATAATCACAAAAAAGCGGGAAAATTTATTCAATTTAAAATTGATTTCATAACTGCTTAAAATAATTTGGATTATTCATTTGTACATCTAATATACTATACAATACATATCAGGTGTAGTAAAAAGAAATCCATTATTTTTCCAATAGATGGCTTTAGTTATCTGTATCTCGCGTTGTATAAGTCCGATCGGGTTCCACTAGATGGCGTTAGGAAGATGAGATTTCGTACTAAAAAAACTTTTTTGACAGTTTTGTGATTAGTTGACTCAGTTTTGTTTGAGCGCGCGTCAAAGATGAACACTAGCAAAAAGAAAATACGCTATATTTTACAGTTTTTCTTCGATAAAGGCGAAAACGCATGCCAGGCGGCTGAAAATGTGAATAGTGTTTATGGTCCTGATACTGTAACAGCCAATCACGCGCAATTTTGGTTTCATCGATTCCGGTCCGGTAATTTCGATGTCAAAGATGCACCACGCACTGGAAGGCCAATTGTCGAAAATATCGATAAAATCATGGACATTGTCGAGTCCGACCGTCATGTAAGCACTGTTTCGATTGCCCAAGAGCTAAAGATTGCACAAAAAACCGTTTGGAACCATTTGAATAAGGCTGGATACAAAAAGAAGCTCGATGTATGGGTGCCACACGAGTTAATGCAAAAAAACCTCATGGACCGAATTTCCATCTGCGAATCGCTGCTGAATCGCAACAAAATCGACCCATTTCTGAAGCGGTTGGTCACTGGTGATGAAAAGTGGATCACTTACGACAACGTCAAGCGAAAACGGTCGTGGTCGAATCGCGGTGAGCCGGCGGAAACGGTGGCCAAGCCAGGATTGACGGCCAGGAAGGTTTTGCTGTGTGTTTGGTGGGATTGGCAGGGAATTATTTACTATGAGCTGCTCCCCTACGGCAAAACTCTTAACTCGGAACTGTACTGTCAACAGTTGGACCGTCTGAAGGAAGCAATCGCCCAGAAGCGACCAGCTTTGGCCAATGGGAGAGGAATTGTGTTCCATCAGGACAACGCCAGGCCACACAGATCGATAGTGACTCGCCAGAAGCTCCGGGAACTTGGTTGGGAGGTTCTTATGCATCCACCTTATAGTCCGGACCTGGCACCAAGTGATTACCATCTGTTCCTATCCATGGCGAACAATTTTACTGGTGAAAAATTCGCTTCAAGAGAGGCTTGTGAAAATCGACTGTCTCAATTTTTTGCCAATAGGGACGAGGGCTTCTATGAGAGAGGTATAATGAAATTACCTTCAAAATGGTAACAAGTTATCGAACAAAACGGCGCATATTTGACCTAAATCGGATCATTCTAACTATGGTAATTAAAGCCTTCAATTTCATGCAAAAATAATGGATTTCTATTTACTACACCTGATATATACAGGGTGTCCCATTTTAATGTGCCACCCAAATAACTCTTTAGTATTGAAGTTTCAAGGAAAATGATCTGAATAAAAGTTGTAGGTATTTAAGTGAGCTACCTTGTGATGCCATTGACTTTGACCTTGATCTCTATTTTCAAGGTCATTTGAAGTTCAACTTGCGTTTTTTTAAATAAGAACTCTTATATTTTATTACACTGTCCTTTTCTACTAGTTAATTAGAAAAACTTTTGTCTAAAACATTTTTTCATTTGTCTGATTTTTTTAGATATTTAAGGAAAACTTGATAACTTTTTCAATATTTAACTTACGATATCTCGCTAACTATTTGTCGAAAGAAAAAGTGGTACCAGACTTTCTTGCTTTATTTAGTTTCAAGAATATATTGTTACAAGCGTCCTGATTTTTGTTAATTTGATGATTTTGAAATTTACAAAAGTTAGTAAGTTAACAAAAGTCAGGGCGCTATTGTAACAATATATTCTTGAGATTAAATAAAGCAAGAAAGTCTAATACTACTTTTTTCCGACAAATAGTTAGCGAGATATCGTAAGTTAAATATTGAAAAAGTTATCAAGTTTTCCTCAAATATCTCAAACAATATCAGACAAATAAAAAATGTTTTAGACAAAAGTTGTTCAGATTAACTAGTAGAAAAAACAGTGTAATAAAAAATAAGGGTTCCTATTTAAAAAACGCAAGTTGACTTTCAAATGACCTTGAAAATAGAGGTCAAGGTCAAAGTCAAGGTCATCATAAGATATCTCACTTAAATCCCTACAACTTTTATTCAGATCGTTTTCCTTGAATCTTCAATACTGAAGAGTTATTAGGGTGGTCCGTTACTTTTGGGACACCCTGTATAATATTGGGTTAAGTAAAATGTTTTGAGCGTTTTCCGCTAGATGGCTTTAGTGAGGTCATATCTCACGATGTATACGTCGCATCTGGTCATTCTATACTGCGACTTAAAGGTGACATAACGCTTTAAAAAAAGTTCTTTGACAGTTTTGTGTTTGGTGAAGCCAGTTGTGTGTTAGAGCGTTCCAAAATGGAGGTAAAAAAAGAGAAAATTCGATACATTCTTCAGTACCACTACGACCAAAGGAAAAATGCGGAGCAGGCGGCCAAAAAAATTTGTGCTGTTTATGGACCCAATACAGTATCGAATGCAACAGCAAAGCGGTGGTTCCAACGATTCCGTTCTGGTAATATGGACGTCGAAGATGAGACACGCTCTGGTAGGCCAATCGTCGAAAATGTCGATAAAATCATGGAAATCGTCAAGTCGGACCGGTATGCGAGCACTTATTCCATTGCCCAGGAACTGAAGATTAGCCAGGGAACCATTTGAAACCATTTGCATAAGGCTGGCCTCAAGAAGAAGCTCGATGTATGGGTGCCACACGAATTGACGCAAAAGAACCTTTTGGACCGAATTCATGCCTGCGATTCTTTGCTGAAACGTAATGAAATCGACCCATTTTTGAAGCGGATGGTGACTGGCGATGAAAAATGGGTCACATACGAGGACAACAGGCGAAAAAGATCGTGGTCCAAGCGCAGTGAGCCGGTCCAAACGATCGTCAAGCCCGGATTAGTGGCCAAGAAGGTTTTACTGTGTGTTTGGAGGGATTGGAAGGGAATCATCCACTATGAGCTGCTCCCATCGGGCCAATCACTCAATTCGGACCTACACTGTCAACAACTGACCAGATTGAAGCAGGCGATCGACGAGAAGCGGACAAAATTAGCCAATAGGAAGGGTGTTGTGTTCTATCAAGACAATGCCAGGCCGCACACATCTTTGACGACGCGCCAGAAGCTCCGAGAGCTTGGATGGGAGGTTATATCGCACCCGCCGTATAGCCCAGACCTGGCTCCAAGCGATTATCACTTTTTCAAGCATTTGCAAAATTTCTTGATGGTACAAAACTGGCCTCAAGAGATGCTTGTGAAAATGAGCTGGTCAAGTTTTTAACCAATAGGGACGAGGACTTCTTCAATCGCGGAATTATGAAATTGTCTTCAAAATGGACAGAAGGTATCGAACAAAACGGCTCATATTTGATCTAAATCCGATAATCTTAACTTTGTTAATTTCATCGTCGAAATAAAGAGGAAAAACGCCCAGAACTTTTTACTCCCCCAATATATCTACGAGGGTGGTCCGATAAGTATTTAGCCTACAAAAGAAAAACGAAAATTTTGGAAAAGTGGCGATTTATTTCTCAACATAGTCTCCTTTTAGCTCGATACACTTGACCCAGCGATGCTCCAACTTCTTTAACCCGTCTGAAAAATACGTTTTCTCGAGGTCTGCAAAGTAGGCCTCCGTGGCGGCGATGACTTCCTCATTCGACTCAAATTTCTGCCCGGCGAGTGACTTTTTCAAGTTTGGAAACAAAAAGAAGTCGCACGGGGCTAAATCTGGAGAATACGGTGGATGGGGCAGCATTTCGTAGCCCAATTCGACCAATTTGACCGTGGTGAGGGCGGAGGTGTGAGCCGGTGCGTTGTCATGGTGGAAGAGCACTTTTTTCTTCGCCAAATGAGGCCGTTTTTTCTGCAATTCGGCGTCGAATCGGCCCAATAATTCGGCATAGTACAGCCCTGTGACCGTTTTGCCCTTCTCCAGGTAGTCGATGTAGATCACACCTTGTGAATCCCAGAAAACGGTGGTCATCACCTTTCCGGCCGATAGGACAGTCTTCGCCTTCTTCGGAGCACGTTCGCCGGGTGAAGTCCACTGTTTGACTGTTCCTTGGTCTCTGGTGTGTACCAGTGGATCCATGTTTCGTCGACGGTCACGAAACGACGCAGAAACTCCTTCGGATTGCGCTTAAACAGCGTCAAACACTGCTCTGAAGTGGTCTCACGGTTGCGCTTGTTGTCCGGAATGAGCAAACGCGGCACCCATCGCGCCGACAGCTGTCTCATGCCCAAAATTTCATGCAGGATATGACCCATGCGGTTTTTTGAGATGCCTACTGTCTCAGCTATCTCGCGCACCTTCAATCGGCGGTCTGCCAATACGAGATCGTGGATTTTTGTCATGTTATCTTCCGTGGTAGCCGTTTTCGGGGCACCTGGGCGTGGCTCATCAAAAACCGACGTGCGACCACGTTGAAACTCGTTAAACCAATTTTTGACGGTCGCCATCGAAGGAGAAGAGTCACCGTACACAGCATCCAAGCGCTCTTTGATTTCGCTGCGCGATTTCCCTTTCAAAAACAAGAATCGAATCACCGACCGATATTGCTCTTTTTCCATTTTTCTAAAATCCGCGGACACGCCCGCTTCCACACGCGGTCAAAACAAAACTACGAGTCCGATTCGGCTGAAATTTCGACAGTAGCCGTCTACGAGAATGTACTACACGATAGTAAATTTCTCTTGCGATAGTGGCGCCATCGGGCGGTGAGGCTAAGTACTTATCGGACCGCCCTCGTATACATATACTTCGACTTACCAGGCTTGGCTATAAATACAATGAGCCGCTGTCAGTATCACTCTGTCGGAAATCAGGCTACCAGCACATAGCCACAGTATCTCATTCTCTGTATTTTGAAATCCGATGGCCGTCATATGCGGAAATTCTTTTGGCTCAGCTTTTTTACCACCGGGGATCAATTTACGCGTGCTCAGAGCGCACCTCGATATATTCACAGGACGTTGGCCCAGTAAAAGTGTAGGTGGTATTGCTATGCCGAAGACAGCTACCGCACTCTCCGCACATTCTATATAATGAAATTACATTGAAATAAATATACATATAGTAATCACTTACAAGAGTTACATCTGAAGGATTATTTTTATTTCAATACAGGGTGTTTGATAGCTGATCATGCAGACGAAAGTTGGAGATAGATTGGGTGTAGCCGAGAAGAAAAGTCATGTACCATAATGTCAAATTGGCAATAGTTATCGAGTTATTAATTAAAACATGTGGGCCAACGAGCGCGTAGAGAGCGGAGGGCGACCACAGTAAGCACATAGACATTTGATACACGCGGAGTCAGCGAGTGCCGGTAGGCGAGCGCGTGCGGCGAGGGGCAACGTAAACAACAAGAGGCGAACGCGCGCGACGAGGAGCGAGCGAGCGCGAACGACGAGGAGCGAGCCAGCGCAAGCGACAAGATGTGAGCGAGCGCGACGAAGAGCGAGCGCGACGAAGAGCGAGCGAGCACGAACGACGAGGAGCGAGCGAGCTATAAGGAAAAAGCTATAAAGAATAAGCTCGCTCGCTTCTCGTCGTGTGCGATCGCCTTTTGCCGCTTACGTTGCCCCTCGCCGCGCGCGCTTGCCTACCGACACTCACTGACTCCGCCTGTATCAAATGTCTACGTACTTACTGCGGCCGACCTCCGCTCTCTACGCGCTCGTTGGCTCACATGTTTTAATTAATAACTCGGTGACTATTGCCAATTTGACATTATGGTACATGACTTTTCTTCTCAGCTACACCCAATCTATCTCCAACTTTCGTCTGCATGATCAGCTATCAAACACCCTGTATATGAAATGTTTTCTATGATATACAGGGTGGTTAATTATAAGTTGCCAACCCGAAATGTGAAGGTAGATTGGGTTAAGATAAATATAAAAGTCCTATACCGTTTTACGAGATTCGTAATAATTATCGAGTTATTAATGACAGAAATCTGAGGAATGGGAGCGTGCCGACATAGATGATTGGAGAAGCGTTGCAGCTACTCAGGCCGCAGCGCGGCCCAGTTGATCCAGAAACTGTTGCCGGCGTGCGGCGAGGGGAAAGACAATGCGCTGCTATTCGTTGTTTTATCTCGCCCGACCTACGTCTCGCCGCACGCCGCCAACAGTTGCTGGGTCGAGTAGGCCGCACTGTGGTCTGAGTAGCTGCAATGCTTCTCCAATCATCTATGCCGGCGCGCTACCACTCCTCAGATTTCTGTCATTAATAACTCGATAATTATTGCGAATCTCGCAAAATGGTATGGGACTTTTATGTTTGTCTTAACCCAATCTACTTTCGCACTTCGGGTTGGCAACTTATAATCATCCACCTTGTATAAGGCTGCGCTAATAGAGGAGCTTAAAATAGTGGAAAAATGTTCTAATAAATATAGATCGAAAAATTAATATTGTCGATAGAATTGGTATTGTTGTATATTATAATTGTATTAATATTATTATAAATAATTTATTTCAATTCAAACAAATCACTCGCTTTTGGTGCTTTTGTACTTTCACAGTATCGTAAGAATAACATTGTATTAATAAAAAAAATGACAGAAATGCATTTTATGTATGACTGTGCATCAGAAGCGAATGAGTCAATTGCTTTAATTAAAATAAATAATTATTTATAACTCTGTCAATATTATTTTTTCGATCAATATTAGGACTTTTTTCTTCCATTTTATGAGTATAATCTGGCCTTAAAATCCTTTTCTTAAATATTCTGTATAATAGTCATATACAGGGTGTTTGATAGCTGATCATGCAGACGAAAGTTGTAGATAGATTGGGTGTAGCCGAGAAGGAAAGTCATGTACCATAATGTCAAATTGGCAATAGTTATCCAGTTATTAATTAACAGATGTGAGCCAACGAGCGCGTAGAGAGCGGAGGGCGACTGCAGTAAGCACATAGACATTTGATAGGCGGAGTCAGCGAGTGTCGGTAGGCGAGCGATATATCAATAATGAAAAAAATGCTGTTATACAAATACAATCGAAGTAAATGTATATACTTCTGGCAACACATAATGTTGTCGTTTTCTTTCTTTCTGAATAAAATTATTTCTTTTTTTATTTAACATTATTCTTTTTCCATGTATGTAATATACAGGGCGTTTGATAGCTGATCATGCAGACGAAAGTTGGAGATAGATTGGGTGTAGTCGAGAGAAAAAGTCATGTACCATAATGTCAAATTGGCAATAGTTACCGAGTTATTAATTAAAACATGTGAGCGCGAACGACGAGGAGCGAGCGAGCGCGAACGACGAGGAGCGAGCGAGCGCGAACGACGAGGAGCGAGCGAGCGCGAACGACGAGGAGCGAGCGAGCGCGAACGACGAGGAGCGAGCGAGCGCGAACGACGAGGAGCGAGCGAGCGCGAACGACGAGGAGCGAGCGAGCGCGAACGAGGAGGAGCGAGCGAGCGCGAACGACGAGGAGCGAGCGAGCGCGAACAACGAGGAGCGAGCGAGCGCGAACGACGAGGAGCGAGCGAGCGCGAACAACGAGGAGCGAGCGAGCGCGAACGACGAGGAGCGAGCGAGCGCGAACGACGAGGAGCGAGCGAGCGCGAACGACAAGAGGCGAGCGAACGCGACGAAGAGCGAGCGAGCGCGAACGACGAGGAACGAGCGAGCTGTAAGGAAAAAGCTATAAAGAAAAAGCTCGCTCGCTCCTCGTCGCGCGTGCTCGCCTCTTGTCGTTTACGTTGCCCCTCGCCGCGCGCGCTCGCCTACCGGCACTCGCTGACTCTGCCTGTATCAAATGACTACGTGCTTACTGCGGTCGCCCTCCGCTCTCTACGCGCTCGTTGGCTCACATGTTTTAATTAATAACTCGGTAACTATTGCCAATTTGACATTATGGTACATGACTTTTTCTCTCGACTACACCCAATCTATCTCCAACTTTCGTCTGCACGATAAGCTTTCAAACATCCTGTATAGATAATATTCATATATGATTTTTTTTTTCTCGAAATGTCTAGTTCAATACATTAGTCCACTCATACGCGAGAAGAATTCATCAAACTGAGTAAAAATACTCCTTGCAATTTTGTTCTTCAATTAAATTAAGGCTAAATTAAAGATAAATAAGTCTTTTTACTATTATTTTCTATCTCAACATGTAAATACGAATGGAAAATATAAAAATATATAAAAGATATAAATATATAAAAGAGGCAAAATTTGTTAACTGCTACAACTTTTTATTTTGATGATTGTTTTTATCTAAGTCCTAACTTTACTTAAGAATTGAAACTTATTTTTTCAAAATTCATATTGCCGAATTCAGATGTTATATATTATGTTTCAAAAAGTTGCAATACTTTTTTCACTGCACTCAGAACATGGCAGATGTCCAATGAGAAGAAAAACCTAATCTGTATGAATTTTCTATGAACAAATTATCCTGCTGCTAGCCATCGGCTATATTCAGAATTGCAGCTCAAAGTAGATGTTCAAATCGTTTTGAGAACGAATACGTACACGATTCTTTCTTAATTGCATCCATTAGCTAATTGTAGCATTAATTACTTACAGTTTCAACGTTTCTCGTATTATCCATCTTTCATTGAGAAATGAATTAGAATTACTTACTTGCTCGCGCTAATGATCCTCTGCTGCTGTCAAATATCAAAGTCCGCGGCGTGTTTATTCTTTCGGTGGAGCTTGTAGTTAGTTTTGACGTTATCTTTTCCGTGGTGATATCCTTTCCGTTTTCATTGTTTGTCGGGCAACAGACTATTGGTTTAAAATCTATATATCCGCATGTAGTTGGTGAGTTTCCGGCTAACAATGCGTCGTAAACTGGCGGGCAGTCTTCCAGGAACTTGCATACACCTGACGTCAAGAACCCGCTTGAATTGCTAATCGTACATCCTTCTGGAAATTACAAAAGTATCATTAGCGAACTTTAAAAAAACTTACTTTTAACATTTTGACAGTCGCTGCCATGTATATAACCATGTATATTTTTTTAACAATTATCACTTCATAAAAAAGTATTTGTCGACAATAGTTCTTAATAATAATAATAATAATAATAATAACATTACACATTAAAAGAAGTGTTCGTTTCCATAGAATAATATTTAAATTAAATAAATAAATAAGACAAAATAACTAGCAATTTGTATGCTTACAAGAAAATTGTTATCTCGTTTTATAACTTAACTTTCTTACATGAAGTAAATACTGTTTTACAATAAAAATATATATTTTTTAATCATAGTTCTTTTGATTTTGATTTTATCAGAAAAATTTATTCCAACTAAAAATGTAAATAATTCTTTTCATTAGTGATATTGTGTATTAAAATAAAATTTTCTTTGAATTAAAAACGCAGATTTTACAATTGAATTAAACTTTATTTATCTATCACTAATTAAACCTGTTTATTTATCACTAATTAAAATTTTATTTATTTATCATTAATTAAAAGTTTTATTTTTTTTTAAATATTCTTCTGATAGCATTCATCTTTTTTTTTTTAATATTGTTTTTGTTTTAATATGTAATATCAAAACTGAAAGTAAGTACTTCAGTTAAAATCAATTCTTAATATAAAATATTTTAGTTAAATATACAAATTTTGCAAGGACGAAAATAAAGATATGGAATTCTAAATAAGTAAATATATTACGTTATTTCTTTTCAGTTGCGTTATACTCAACGATTGTCTTTTAGGTATAATTTTTACACTATAACATAAAAATGAATTAATTCCAATTATATAATATGCAACATACTACAGAATATAAAGAAGTGAACATAGATGAATGTGCATATGTAACAAATGTAACATGTGCGCGTCGAAATTTGTGCAAAAGTTTTCCAAGTTTCTCAAGCATATTTTTAGGATTAAATATATGTGAAATCTATGTTTAGTATAATATTAAAGATATAACTTAATACAAGGTCAAGCTGAATTAACATAGCCACAATGCATAAATTAAAGAAACAGAAATTTTTTTATTTCTGCAGACGCAAGCGCGCGTGTATAAATATAGCATATTATTCACAATTGTGATTAAGAAAATGCAATAAAGTTTAATTTAAATTATGGAGTACTATAATATAGAGAAACACAATATTTAGAGATATAAAATGCAATTGTATAACACGCCACACAATGTTTTCAAGTTCAATAAAATATTTTTTTTATATATCGTAAAATATCGCTTTTACATTATCTTTAATATATATGAATTGTAATTTATTTAACTAAAATTATTTTAGTTTTAATTGGTTTTTTATACTGTAACAACTGTAACAAAACGATATACATACACCAGAGGTTTCACAGAAACCTCTGGTGGAGCATATTGTTAATGTAGGGCATATTATCTGATTTTATATTCAATATGTTTCTCTATATTATACTGTTTCATAATTTATATTAAACTCTGTTACATTTTTTTAATCACATATATCAAGATTAGAGACATCCTTAGATGTTCTTAAAAAAAAATTTACTGATGTTATCTTTATGTTCTTGTCGAAAAAGAGAAAATAACAAAATTATATACATATGTATAATCTTTATCATACGAAATTTTTTTTTTAATCTGCTTAACATGCTTATAAACTTACACAAGCCTTATTATGCTAGGTTCATTCCAATTTACGTATATGCGTGTATTTATCTATAACAATTTTCAAATTACGTGCATTTTCCAAACGATTTCTGAGAATTACGAATTTATTCTTCTTGTCTCTCTCGTTCAACTGTCAAATTATGCGATTAACTGTTGTGGCACTTGGATTCAAAACAATTAATTTCACTAGTCATAAAACTGTCTATGAGATGGTCTTTAATTATTGAACAGATCCTATTGAAACTAGTATCCTCTCGTTGTATTATAATTATAATAATATGAATGTTAGTAATGTATAGTAATATGTAGAATATGTATAGAATAATGTATAGTAATGTATAGTTAGTAACATATAGAAATAACACGTATAGAGGACTAGTTTCAGAGGTAGAAATTTTTTTGGAAACTAAGGTGCATTTCACAGTTCTTATAGAATTGACAGTCTTGTCGCATATACTGACGTAGTTAGTGTGCTTCGATGAGTGAGGCAAGGGGGAAAAAGTAAACGTAGCTTTTAAAAATCATGTTGAAAATGATAGAACTTCGAGCATTGCTATAAATAAATGTACGCATATGCCTGAAACTGAATCACATGTTTGCTCGACATTGATAAATCAAATATTTTTAGTTAACCTTTTCGATGCATTTAATTTCGTTTAAAATGTGGTAGCCACTTCGGTATAATTTTAAGCATACATTGAAGATAGATATTGAGCTATTCATTCTGTTAACAGATATCATGCTTTTTTAGTACATTTGAAAATATCGGTTTCTCTTCTAAAAAAATATTGGGGACTTGAATAAGTTCTCGCTGTTTCCTGACAGATGGTGTTATCTTAACCTTTTTGCATCGGGCAATACTACAGCCAACTTCATCGTGAAGCTCCACTATTAGGCTCGAAGTGACAGTATATGTTATTCTGCCGCAGCGTAAACAACATATTTTTTCATAGCGTTGAACATGTCGAATTTCGTGCCAAAAAAGAGTATTTGCGGGGAATTTTACTGCATTACTTTTAAAAAAAAAATCTGCAACTGAAGTACATAGAATTATTGTGGAGACTTACGGTGACCATGCTCTGTTGGAAACAACATGTAGAGATTGATTTAGACGCTTTAAAAATAATGATTTTGATGATATGTGATGATAAATGATTTTGAAGATAAAGAACGCTCTGGCGCACCGAAAAAGTTTGAAGACGAAGAATTGGAAGTATTACTCGGTGAAGACCCATGTCAGACGCAAAATGAACTTGCAGAATCATTAGGAGTTGATCACACAACAGTTGCCAAACATTTAAAAGCATTAGGAATGATTCAAAAGCAAGGAAATTGGATGCAGTACGAATTGAAGCCGAGAGACGTCGAATGGCGTTTTTTCACGTATGAACAGCTGCTCCAACGACAGAAAAGGAAAGGATTTTTGCATCGTATCGTGACTGGCGATGAAAAGTGGATACACTACAATAACCCAAAGCGTAGAAAATCGTGGGATAAGCCCGGCCATGCATCAACGTTGACGGCAAAACCAAATACCCATGAGTCCAAGCTCATGCTCTGTATTTGGTGGGATCAGCTCGGTGTAGTATATTATGAGCTCCTCAAACCCAACGAAACCATCACGGGAGATCGCTATCGACTACAATTGATTGATTGATTGATGTGTTTGAGCCGAGCATTGAAGGAAAAACGGCCGCAATACGAGGAGAGATACGACAAAATAATTTTGCAGCATGACAACGCTCCGCCACATGTTGCAAAATCGGTCAAAACCACTTGGAAACGCTCAAATGGGAAGTCTTACTCCACCTGTCGTATTTACCGGACATTGCTCCTTCCGATTACCACTTATTCCGATCGATGACTCATGGCTTGGCTGAGCAGTACTTCCATTCTTATGAAGATGCCAAAAAATGGGTCAATTCGTGGATAATCTCAAAAGTTGAGTCGTTCTTTCGACATGGTATTCGTATGCTGTCAGAAAGATGGGAGAAAGTAGTGGCTAGTGATGGACAATATTTTCAATGACATGTTCTTTACTAATTTTTTTAAATAAAGCATTTATTTTCACGAAAAAACAGTGAGAACTTATTCAAGTCCCCAATATATGCATCATAATCTTCTCGCGATTCTTAATAATTACGAGATATCAGCTAATCTGTTAAAAACAGAAAAAATCATGAGTTTCATTCACTGAATGAAAATCATATACTTTTGTTAAGAAAGAAGGAAAAAGGAAGAGAAAGAGAGAGAGAGAGAGAGAGAGAGAGAGAGAGAGAGAGAGAGAGAGAGAGAGGGAGAGAGAGAGAGGGAGAGAGGGAGAGGGAGAGAGGGAGAGAGGGAGAGAGGGAGAGAGAGAGAGAGGGAGAGAGGGAGAGAGGGAGAGAGGGAGAGAGGGAGAGAGGGAGAGAGGGAGAGAGGGAGAGAGGGAGAGGGTGATAGGGGATAGGGGAGAGGGGGTGATGGGAAAAGGGGGAGAGGGTGGAGGGGGAGGGGGAGAGGGAGAGGGGGAGGGGAGAGGGGGAGGGGAGAGGGGGAGAGGGAGAGAGTGAGAGAGGGAGAGAGGGAGAGGAGGGAGAGAGGGGGAGGGGAGAGGGGAGAGAGAGAGAGAGAGAGAGAGAGAGAGAGAGAGAGAGAGAGAGAGAGAGAGAGAGAGAGAGAGAGAGAGAGAGAGAGAGAGAGAGAGAGAGAGAGAGAGAGCAGAGAAAAAAATATATATGGGGCATTCTCTGTCACATCTGACACTCCCTTTGTCCAAAAATTGGAGCAACAAAAAACTGTATCCGGGCTCATTTTGAAGCTATGGATGTGTACTTTCGTTTAAACCGCAGCCTGTTCAGAAAATCAATGTGACGGTTCCAATATGGCGGCTTGTAGTCGGAAAAATTAATAGGAAATTTATTATTTATTAAATGGCTAGCATTTAGATCTTGGACAAAATTAAGTGGACAAACAGAAAATTTTATATTCAAAGTGGAACAATATAAACAAACGTTGAGCTTTATTTAATATGTGATCTTATTACATCCTCAGTGTACGTTGATCCTTGTACCAGTACAATCAAAGTTAATAAACAGATATGTCTAACAAGGGGAAGGCACGTACGAGATCTCACGGATCGGGATGAATCTTTTTGAGGTTATTCCACAACGGTAATAAACCTTCTGTGTAAAAGGATTTGTTTCAACATATCTTTGTCTCGGAGAAAAAAAATGCAATATTTACGTCTCCTATTCCAGCGGCGGATAGGCTAAGTGTGAAGCGAGGCTCTCAAGTCAGCTTCAG